CCTGCACTCTGCCCCTCCGCTCTCGAAGCTGTGCTGAAACTGCTGACTCACAGTGACTTCCTCCCTGGAGCTTGGTTCTACTCTGCTTTCTCACCTATCAACAAGAGGGTCTTGCATCTCTGGGCTTCTCAGCTTTGGCTTCCCTCTTCGGAATTCTATGAGCCTTTGCAGGCACTTTATAACATACATACATGGAATGGATGTACGGATAGGTATAGTTACTGATCTGCAATGTGTGACCAGGGGGTTAATATTGTAAGAACCTGTGGCCGGGCCAGCGAAACGGCTCAGCAGTCGAAAGACGCTTGCCTGACTCCTGTAAGTTGTTCTTTGACCTCTATGGGCACATGACTCCACCCCCAAAATAAATGCACAAAATTAAGAGAGGAGAGAGAGAGAGAGAGAGAGAGAGAGAGAGAGAGAGAGAGAGAGAGAGAGAGAGAGAGAGAGAGAGAGAGAGAGAGAGAGAGAGAGAGAGAAGAACCACGTTACTTCAGTCAGGGTTTCCAAGGAAGTTGGAGGAGCTGGCACATTGCTGCCATCGAAACCACTGTTCCTCACGAACTCACTGTCACTGTTCTGACACCGTGGAAAACTGCACTGTGTTTGTCTAGCTTCCAACAAGGGTACCCAGGACAAGAATGTAAGTCTGATTTCTCCGGGTAAAGTGGATTGCCTTTATGAAATTTGGTGGTTGTCACTAGGAAAAAATATTTTTATACTTACTATATTTTAAGATTGATATATTCTTATTTTGTTTGCACGAGTGTTTTGCCTGCATGCATATACGTGCGTGAAGTCAGAGAGGGCATCAGATCCCGTGGAACTGGAACTTCAGATGTTTATGAGCCACCGTGTGGTGCTGGGACAGATCCTGGGTCCTCCGCAAGAGCAGCCAGTGCTCTTAACCACTCAGCCATCTCTCCAGCCCGTTTTTTACGTGTGTGTGTGTGCGTGTGTGTGTGTGCGCGTGTGTAGCCCCTGATGAGGCCAGAAGTATCGGGTCTCCCTGGAGCTGTACTCACAAGGGCGTGTGAGCTGAGCACTGGGAACCAAACTTGACTCCTTTGCAAGCTCTCAGCCACCTCTCTGTCCCTTTCACTTTGTTTGTTTGAGTAGGGTCTTGCTATATAGGCCAGGCTGGCCTTGAACTCACCACTTCTTGTCTCTACTTTCCAAGAACTGAGATTATAGATGTGCACCCCAGTAAGGACCTGGCCTTTTATGATACTTTAGGAACTCAGGAAAATGTTAATTGAATTTATTTGCTTATTCATCTATCACTATTAGGCAATTGTTAGAAAAGTATCAACAATACTTCTTAGAAGAGATACACAGGTCAGAGTTTGTTCACAACAAGGCTAGCACTTCATCAGTTTAAACCAGAGGTTTAATGAGATTTACAGGTTAAGGAAGCAATTGATAATCTGAGCTCCAGGAAGGACTCAGATGCACACTATAGTTCTGGGCTGTGAAATACCTGCTTTCTAGTCTCTGATCAGGGAACCACTTGCTGAGTTGGGAAGCTCCTGGCATGCGCCCCCTCTCCAGGCGTTGGTGGTGCACGCCTTTAATCCCAGCACTTGGGAGGCAGAGGCAGGTGGATCTCTGTGAGTTCGAGGCCAGCCTGGTCTATAGAGCGAGTCCCAGGACAGCCTCCAAAACAATACAGAGAAACCCTGTCTCAACTCCCCCCAAAAAAGCCCCCGCATAAAAAACAAGCAAACAAATAATCAACCAACCTGGAAGCAAGAAATCTAAAACATCTCATGCTCGTGGAGTGGTAGCATCAATGCTGTGAAGATTAAAGCCTTCATCTATAACCCAGGAATCCCTGTCCAGGGGTGACACCACGCCCAGCAAGCTAGGCCCCCACATCAACCACCAATAAAGACTTGCCTACAGGCCAACCTGATGGGAGCCTTTTCTCAATTGAGGTTCTCTCTCTCAGATGACTATAGCTTGTGTCAAATTGACAGAAACCAACTGTAATAGTGCCAAACATACATTGGAGAAGAAGGCAGTCGGTTAAAACGCTAAAAACAATCCTACATATTCACATGCAGAAGAAAGAGATGATATCCCTGTCTCTCATCCTATAAAAACTCATCTCAAAATGTGTAAGACAGCCAGTTGGTGGTGACACACGACTTTGAGCCCAGCACTCAAGAGGCAGGGACAGGTGGATCTTTGAGTTTGAGGCCAGCCTAGTCTGCAGAATGAGTTCCAGCACAGCCAGGGCTACACAGAGAAATCCAGTCTTGAAAAAACAAAACAAAACCAAGAAAAGTGTCAAAGACCTTCAATTTAAGATCTGAAACTCTATAGAATATAAAAAACTAAAAAAATGCTGGGTGTTGGTGGTGCACGCCTTTAAACCCAGCACTCGGGAAGCAGAGGCAGTTGGATCTCTGTGAGTTTGAGGCCAGCCTGGTCTACAGAGAGAGTTCCAGGACAGCCTCCAAAACAATACAGCGAAATCCTGACTCCAAAACCAAACAAGAAAAAAGAAAAAAAAATTAAACAACTAAAGAATAAACAAGAACCAACTTGTGGAATCAACCTACGTCCTCAACAATAAACACACAAAATGTGGATAAAGCATGAAACTACACCATTTGCAGCAAAATGACTGGACCTAGAGATATTTGGCAAAATGATCACATTTTCTCTACATGTGGCATCTAGATTAAAAAAAAAAAAAAGACAGGAAAGTAGAAGGGTATAATTTGAGAAGGCACCAGTGAGAAAAAGGACAGGGGGTGCCCACTGACTCATTTGCCTACCTGTGTGAAACCTCCTCCTGCTTGGCTGCCTGGTCTAGGACAGCTTATGCCTGGTCTAGTCTTGATGTGAGGCTTATGCCTGGTCTAGTCTTGATGTGAGGCTTATGCCTGGTCTAGTCTTGATGTGAGGCTTATGCCTGGTCTAGTCTTGATGTGAGGCTTATGCCTGTCTAGTCTTGATGTGAGGCTTATGCCTGTCTAGTCTTGATGTGAGGCTTATGCCTGGTCTAGTCTTGACGTGAGGCTTATGCCTGTCTAGTCTTGATGTGACAGCTTGTGCCTGGTCTAGTCTTGATGTGACAGCTTGTGCCTGGTCTTATTGCAGCATATGCCACGTTTGGTTGATGTCCCTGGGAGACCTGCTCTTTTCTGAGGGGAGACATGGAGGGGGGTGGATCTGAGGAGAGGAGGTTGGGAAGAGGAGGCTAAGGGGGGGGAGGGGAAACTGTGGTTGGGATGTAATATATAAGAGAATAAACAACAAAACTAAAACTGAGTTCTTCTTTGCATATTTAGCTACCCAGTGAGTCTCCACCACCCCCTCCATTAAAGAAGGTATGCTAGGATTGGACACCTGATGCTATCAGGTCTGGCCATCAGGCTTGCAGGGTGAGCACTTTGTCCACTGAGCCCTCTTACCAACCCTTCCCAGTGTTTTTAAGGGCTGAATGTGTTTGTGTCTGAGTGTTTGGTCTTGTTCCCATGATAAGAAGTGGCTGTCAGATCCCCAGAGACTGGAGTTACAGATAGCCTGAGCTACCGTGCGGGTATAGGATGTGAGCTGAATACCTGGTTTACTTGAGCCCAGGCTAGCCTCAAACTCCCAGAGATCTGCCTGCCTCTGTCTCCTGAGTGTTGGGACTAAAGGTGTGCGCCACTATAGCCTGGCATGGGCTACCATTTTCTAATGACTAAAATACATTAAAACTTTCCTTATGCTAACAAATCAACAAGAAAATCACTTTTTAAAACATAAAGCCATGTAGCAAGAGATTTAAGTACGCATCTGTGGCGCTGGCCACTTCCGTTTTGGCGTGGTCACAGGTGCATACAGGAGGGGGATTTAGGCTGGCTCTGGGTGGCGTGCTCTCTGGTGGATGGCCGGATCCCAGAAAACAGCCTGGAAGGATCCTTGGAACCTGGGGCAGCCACCCGCCTCTCGTGTGTTTTCTCTCCAAATAACCCTTTTACCCTGTCCTGGGTCCAGCGAACCTTGATTCCCACGCGTGACGAAGCCAGGAGAGGCATCTCCACAGCGCCAGCATTGGGAGGTTGAGGCGGGAGGGTCAGCAGCAAAGCAAGGCCCAGTGTGGCTACACGAGGCTGAACCCAGTCTGGCACACCGAGACACTGGCTCCAAAGTTAGCAAAAACACACATAACCGAAGCAGCAACAAAGCGAGAACACAAGGTCACTTCATCTCTTTTCGGGATCACGGGTCCGCTATCCTTTTTTAAGCACAGGAAAAAATGTCCTATTTCAGTTCTTGAGACTGAAATTTAGTCTTTGTGCCTATGGACAGAACTTCAACAGAAGAGTTGACTCGGATGCTTGGTGTCATCACGGATGAGTGCTGACAATGGATGTAAGCCAGGATTTCTCAGAAGCCACGTTAGAGTCTCATTTTTACCCCTTTTGAGACCAAATCTCATGCTGTCCAAACTAGTCTGAAAACTTGTGGGCTCAGTCGTGTGTTGGTGGTGCATACCTTTAATCCCAGCACTCGGGAGGCAGAGGCAGGCCTGGTCTACAGAGAGAGGTCCAGAACAGCCTCCCAAACAATACACAGAAACCCTGTCTGGAAAAACCAAACAAGAAAAAAGGAAAAAGAAAAAAAAAACTTGTGGGCTCATGATCCTCCTTCCCTGATTTCCCATGTCTACAGGTATGCAGCATTATTTCTTGGCCTTCCCATTCCACAACTGACTAAACCCCACTCACAACTCATGACTTACAGGTAAGAATGAGTGGCTGGAGTGATGGTTCAGCGGCTAAGACTGCATATTGCTCTTCCAGGACCCAAATTCAGTTTCCAGCAACCATGCTGAGCGTCTCACAATCTCCTGCATCCCTACTCCAGGGGCTGAAGCCAGATGCCCCTGGACTCTGTGGGCACGTGCACTCACATGCACATGACTCCACAAATGTACATATGTATACATGATTAAAAATAATAAGTCCCTTTCTTTAGAATAAAAAAAGCAGTACAAGATGTAGCACTGTAAAACTTTTTTTTAATAACAGGTCAAATACTGTGAAACATACATATATTCTGATAGTCTTCTAATCCCAGTTGAGTTCAAATTTTAAAGTAACACATACAAGCTAAGAGAATTCAATATTGTTCCAAGGCACTTACTGAATCTCTGTGACTAGATGAAAACAAGAACCATCAAGACGAACAATTAGACAGTAATAATATAAAAATAACTTCTCGCTTACAATTTACAAAATGCATTATTGTTACAATCTTTGATCTCTGATAACCTGCAGTGCTGGGTGCCTGAGCCCAGCAGTTTTAAAATTCAGAAACTGGTTTCTAAAACTTCAGGGCAAATAATTTACAAATAAGGTACACAAAGACTTAGACCATGCAGAAATTCTTACATCTTGTTAATAATATTTTATAACTTCAACTTTATCAAATTATATACCTACTTGCCCTGTACATATACAAAATAATGCATACATGATAAAATGGCAAAAGAGTAGTCCTTTAACTCAATTTATCATAAAAGTATTACTATATTAACAGGTCTACAAGCAGCTTGTAACAGGGTTAAGAGACATTAAGGCAATAATACTTGAAGTTACAAAATAAACAATATGTAATACTTTTTCCTAAGTGTAGTATAAGGCAGGTAGATGGTCCCAGCAAAATTATTAAGGTAACAATCTACACTGCTGTTAGTCCCACATTTTAAAGACGGAGTCCTATAAATCTGGCTTTCAGTGGCACTTGAATTGTCCAGTATAATTTAAAGTGTCTTTTAACTCCCTGAATCATGTCCATTCTGAAGGTGGATCTCTTGGTCCTTTAGGTTTTCCACAGCGATTGCCAAAACCTATAGCCAAAAACCACAAACACAGGTTAACACCAAAAATATTTTAAAAACATTAAGAATGCATCTATACCTCTGCTTCTCCAAACCCAACTGTCAGGGCTGCCTTGAGCACTGCAAGACAAGACCAGCTGTAGCCTTTCCCCCATCCAGGGTTTCCTGTGGATCCCACAGACAAGCCCCACACCACCGTGTCTCAGACCCCATCTCAGGCAGACATCCCAGGCTCAATCACAGGCCATGCCTTCCAGAACAGGTAGGCTGTCCATGGACCTTCTCCACTCTCTCCGAATAGTGCTGCAAGAGAGCACCAGCCACAGCCCCTCCCTCTGTCCATGCCTCCTGTGGATCCCACAGACGGTTCCCCAGGCCTCCCCTTTCCCTGGCCTCCAACACCAGCAAGCATTTCCCATGAAGACACCACCCGAGCAGGCAACATACTCCCTGAAAATCTGCAGAGGAAACAGAAACCGAGGAAGAAATGCCCACCCAAAGACCTAAACCTATCTGTAATCAAGATGCTCATATGCCAGTGTAAGAACACAATCACTAACAGCCAGAACAATATGTCTCCACTAGAGCCCAGCGATCCTGCACCAGCAGCCCCTGAATATTCCAGCATAGCTGAAGAACAAGAAAAAGACCTTATAACCAAGTATATGAAGATGATAGAGGTCTTTGAAGAAGAAACGAATAAATGCCTTAGAGGAATTCAGGACACAAACAATTGGAGAAAATGAATAAAACTGTTCCAAGACCTGAAAATGGAAATAGAAGCGATAAAGAAAACACAAACAGAGGGAAGTCTAGAAATGACACATTTAGGAATGTGAACAGATACTAGAGGAAAGAAAGCTTCACCAACAGAATAAGAGAGACAGAAATATCTCAGGCATTGAAGATATGCTAAAATGGGTACACTGGTTAAAGGAACTGTTAAATCGAAAACTATTCCTAACACAAAGCATCCAGGAAATCTGGGATACTATGGAAAAAACCAAACCTAAGAATAGAGGAAGGAGGCCAGGCGTTGGTGGCGCACGCCTTTAATCCCAGCACTTGGGAGGCAGAGGCAGGCGGATCTCTGTGAGTTCGAGGCCAGCCTGGTCTACCAAGCGAGTTCCAGGACAGTCTCCAAAACAATACAGAGAAACCCTGTCTCAAAAAACCAAAAAGAATAGAGGAAGGAGAATTAACCCATCTCAAAGGCCAAGAAAATATTTTCAACAAAATCATTAAAGAACATTTTCCTAACCTAAGGAGGACATGCCTGTGAAGGTACAAGAAGCACGGGTCTGGGGAGATGGCTCAGTGGTTAGGAGCACGGGCTGCTCTTCCAGAGGACCAGGGCTCAATTCCCAGCATCCACATGGCAGCTCACAACTGTCTGTAACTCCATTTCTGAAGGATCTGACACTCTCACACAGACATGCATGTAGGCAAAACCACTACTGTACATACAATGAAAATTAATATATCATTAACACAAACAAAAAGACGCATACAGAATACGAAAAAGACTACACCAAATGGATTGGGTCAGAAAAAAAGTCTTTTTGCCACAAAATAATAAAACACTGTGCCAGATGGTGGTGGCACACACCTTTAATCTCAGCACTCTGGAGGCAGAAGCAGGTGGCTCTCTGTGAGTTCAAGGCCAGCCTGTCTACAGAACTAGTTCCAAAACAGCTACCTAGAGAAACCTGTCTCAAAACAAACAAGCAAATAAACAAAAACACAAAACAAAAACAAAACAATAAACATACAGAATAGAGAAAGGATTTAATAAGCTTTTAATAAGCTTCAAGGGAAAAAGGCCAAGTAACATATAAAGGCAGATCTATCAAAATCACACCCAACTTTTCAACAGAGACCCTAGAAGCCAGAAGGGCTACATTTATACAATGGAGTATCACTCAGCTGTTAAAAAAAATGACATCATGAAATTTGCAGGTAAATAGATGAAACTAGAAAAAGAAATCATCCTAAGTGAGGTAACCCAGACCCAGAAAGACATACACAGTATGTACTCACTTATATTAGCCATTATGTAAATGATAACCAAGCTACAATTTGTAGACCCAGAGATGTTGAGGGGTCTAGAGGGAACACATGAATCTCCCTGGGAAGGGGAAATAGAAGTTGTGGGTGAACTCCAGGCAGGAGGGGTCAGGTTAGGGAGGAGAGGGGAATGGAGGGAGAGTGTGAGGAGTGATGGCTGGAATTGGGGGTATTTGGGGAGTGGTGTGGAAACTACCTGGGATCTAGGATAATGGTGACCCTGGCGGGGACTCCTAGTAATGGAGGATATGGAGTCCTAACTGGATATCTTTTGTAGCCCGGCAAGGTTTCCAGCAGCGGGGCTGGGTTACATTCGGCTGAGTGGTTAGCTGAGGGGGTCCGTGGAGATCCCCAAACAACCCAGGTGAGAACGGGCAGAGGGGCTCCACTGCTGAGGATGTCAGGGACGTGAAGAAGTCAAGCTAATGTCTGCATGGTGCCTTCATGCTACGGTCTAGTCTCTTGGTTCCGGAAGGTATTCTGTAGACTACAGAAAGAGAAACCTGGATACCAGCCTAGCCACAAAAGCCTCAATCTATAATTTCTCTTGACTGAAAGAAGTGTTGGGGCGGTGATGGTTCAGATGGTTCAGAACTTGTGGGAGTGGCCAACGGATGTCTGGTTTAACTTCAGGCCCAAGCCACAAGAGGGGGCCCATGTCCTACACTGTATGGATAACCAGCAAGGACAGAACCAAACACTAATGTGGGAAATCAATGAAACGATTCCTAATGATATTCTGCTATACTCATAGATTGGTGCTCTGTCCAGTCATCATCAGAGAGGTTTTCTCTGGCAGCAAATGGGAGTAGGTGCAGAGACCCACAGCCAGATGTTCTGCTGAGAAGTCTAAATTGGAGATTTCCAGGTTTCTCCCTTCCAAGCTTGGGAATCCCACAGAAGAGGGTTCAGAATGGTTGTAGGAGTCAGAGGGGATGGAGGACAGCAGGAGAGCATGGCCCACAGAATCAGCTAGGCAGGGCTCACACGGGCTCACGGAGACTGACGCAGCAAGCCTGTGCTTGCATGGGTCCTGTGTATGTATGTTAGTTATGGAGTTAGCTTGGTGTTCTTGTGGGACTCTTCTGAACTGTGGAATGAATGTGTCTCTGACTCTTCTGCCTGAGCTTGAGAGTTTCTCCTGTTGGGTTGCCTTGTACGGCCTTGGTGTGAGAGCTCTTGACTTGTCTTATTGTACTTGGTTTTGTCTTGGTTGGTTGCTGACTCTTGGACTCTTTTCTGAAGGGAAACAGAAGAGTAAATATGGGGAGAGGGGAGATAGAGGGTGAGCTTGGAAGAGTGGAAGGAGGGGAAATTGTGGTCGGGATGCATGTATGAGAGAAGGATCTATTTTCAATTAAAAAAAAAAAGAATACATTCATCGACACCCTCATTTTCTAGAACAAATGAAAATGAAATAAAACAAATGTATTTTGGGTAACTGAAAAAAGTAATTGGTTCTTTAAAGTATTATGGCTGGGCTCAGTGGTAAAACATCTGCTGCTAAGGCACCAGGTCAGGAACCTCCCTGGAGCCCAGGAACTCAGGGCTGGCCTGGACAATTTCACAATATACAAGATCTGTTTACACTTTTCTTTAGAGACGTAGTTGCATTGTTTAGGCTGGCTTCTCTCTCATCACAGACAAAGATAACCTTGAACTTCTTCTCATCTTTCTTTCTGTCTGCTCCTCCCAAGAGCTGGGGCTCAAACTCAGGGCTTCCTATGTGCTGGGCAAGCAATCTGTCAACTGAGTGAGACTCCCAGTTCCTTACAATACTGTTTTTAAAAAACTTTGATTTTTAATCTCTACCTGGAACAGGATAAGCGAATTATTTCACAATCAATTTCAACCACACATACTCTTGGTATCATTTCAGAGTCTGAGTATGCTAAGCTGTAAAGTTTGATAAAGGGCTAGAAACTAGATGGTACAGTCAGTAAAGGTGCTTGCTGCCAAGCCTAACAGCAGTAGATCAATACCCTGAACCCATGATCTCCACATGTACACCATGTCACACACCAATGCACTTACACACACAGTTACAAGTAAATGAAAACATTTTAATGTAGTAAAACTGCTTTATGGAAATCCTGGAAAAGCAGTCGTATATATTTTCTTCCTCTCTATGTTGCTCTGGCTGTCCTGGAACTCACTCTGTAGACCAGGCTGGCCTCAAACTAACAGCTGTCTCCCCAGTGCTGGGATTAGAGGAGTGTCCCAGGATTAAAGGAATGTGCCACCATGCCTGGTTGTTTGTGCTCTAAATGACTGATGCACTTTTTCAGTTTCTGTTAGGATGATCTTTTGAGAAAGGGTCTCATTATATCGTCCTGGCTTGCCTGAAACTCATATGTACACCAGACTGGCCTTGAACTCACAGAGATCCATCCGCCTGTCTCAATGCCAGATGCAAGCATTAGAAGAGTGCCACTATGGCTGCCTATTAAAATTATTAAGTTACCAATATCCGTGGCTTCTGTTAGACTTTCTGTCACTTGACTTTTCTTGTCACTGAATGTAGGTGGACAGTCTGTGCAGGCCTCTGTGTGGACACCCCCTGCATCTACAATAAAAACAAGTCTGCATTAACCACCACCCTGTCAGGTAGAACACAGTCACAATACTCTGCAGGAAGAAGGTACAGGATGCCACGTCATCTCTAGAGGCTCTGATGGCAAGTACCAGGAGACTGGGCACAAGGGGCATGCTAGGTACTTGTCACGTGACCTGAGTCACATCACACAGTGCACACTGCTGTGAGGCTTCAGTTCTCATGTCTAACCTCCCGGTTGCTAGAGCATGACTGACAGCTCGGCAGTCTGCACGCCGGTCTGGTGCACTTACCTCACTGTCATCTGGGTCACGGCACGCTATTCTTTCCTCAAGTACTTACAGTCAAACACGTTTCTTCTCTCTGTTCCCTCTCCAACCCCTCCTCCCCTGCCTCATCCCCTTTCTGCTGCCCAGAGAGGAAGAGGCCTTTCTTGTGAGATCTTCACATCTGTCACATCATTTGGAGCAGGTCTTAGACTCTCCCCCATGTGTCTAGGCTGAGAGAGTATCCCTCTATGTGGAGTAGACTCCCCGTCCATTCTTATACCAAGGATAAATACTGACCCACAACCAGAGACCCCATAGATTGCCCAGGCCTCTTAACTGACACCTACGTTCAGGTGGTCTGGATCGGTCCTATACTGGTTTCCCAGCCACCAGTCCTTAGATGCTTAGAGCCTAGAGTAGAGTTGACAGATCCAACGTGTGTCACAGTCTTCTTTGCCCACCCCTCCAACTCCATTTTGCTAACAAGAGTCTTGCTACGTGCCCAGGCTGGAGTCTAACTTCTGCACCTCCTGCCTACTTCCTAAGTGCTACAATTTCAGGCATCATCATCCTCTATTTGGTTTTCTTTTAAACCATTTACACTTATTATTTATGAGAATGAAAAAGCCACATCGTATGTGTGGAGGCCAGAGGACAATTTTCAGGATTTGGTCTCTCCTTCTACCATGTGGGTCCTAGGGCTTAAACACAGGCTATTAGGCTTGGCAGCAAGTGCCTTTATCCTCTGAGCCATCTTACCAGCCCTAAAACAATAAAACAGTTCAGCTCAAGGGTGCACACAGTCCTGCCAAGAGTAGGACTTGATCTGGGGCTTCCAGCATGGTAGGAGACATCACCATCATCTTAGTAGTGCGGTTAACGTCTAACAAGATCACACACAGACACAATGGAGACTGGTGTTGACAAGGTCCTCAGGGCCCTCTTCTAAGGAGAGATAAAGGCAATGCAGATTTAAGACCTTGATTTCTCAGTCGTGTGAAGGTGGCTGAGGAGCAGGACTCAGCTTTACAAGCTAAGGTATACAAAGCCCAGGGGGAAGGACAGGGTGCTAACTAGAGCGTATGAAAAGAGCAGATAACAGCAAAAGCCCAACTGTAGCTATTTCAAAAGGGAATGAACAAATTTTAGGACATTAGGACACCGAAGTCCAAGGTATAGTAGCAGTTGTACTATAGCAACAGCAATATCATTTGTTATATGTTGTTTAATTTAATTAAGCCTTCAAGCCATCTTCTAAGACAGGTGACTATTACCGTCAAAAAAAGTTTAGTAACAGCTTCATCTATCTTATCATGCCTGACTTGTGAGGGCTGGGGAACTAGGGCTTCATGCACACTAGACACCCACTGAGAAACCTCAATTGGACAGACAGTTTCCCAACTTGACAGTATAACTAATGATTCCTTTCCAAATAAACATGAACACTCAATTGGTTTTCCATGCCGCAGGTCAATCTGGAGCATTTACTCTAACAAAAGTGAACTTCTAGGTAACTTGTTAATTTTGGTGCTAGAGAGTAAACCTAGACCTTAGATCTGTTAACTATATGCTCCACCACAGTTATAACCCCAGTTTCTGGATATTTTAATAAACAACAAAAAAGCAACCTATTTCCCATAAACCTGTAACTTCTGGTACTAATTGTCTCCATGAAGTTCCAAGTCAGATCAATAATCTGTGGGTGCAGCCAGCTTAGAATTGTATCACAGAACTGTATTTCCTCAAGAAGTTATCCTAGAGACCTCCATATATATACAAATACCCCAGCATGAAACACGATACGTGCTATTTTATAGAAATCAATTTATAACGTTTATTTATTTATTTATTTTGGTTTTTCAAGACAGGGTTTCTCTGTATTGTTTTTGAGGCTGTCCTGGAACTCGCTCTGTAGACCAGGCTGGCCTCGAACTCACAGAGATCTGCCTGCCTCTGCCTCCCAAGTTCTGGGATTAAAGACGCGTGCCACCAACGCCCAGCATAAAGTTTATTGTTAAAAAGGAAAAATTAATCTAGTAACTTACCATATTTTTCACTTCCAGAGGTTATCAAGCCCTGCAAAGACATTTAATAGCATTGCAGTAAGTTCACCTTATAAACAAATAGAAAATTTAATCAATTATAGATATTTACCCCAAGAAATTTAGGTGTATCAAAAAAAATGCCCCCTTGTTATTTTATTCATTTATTTTTGAAAGTGAATCTCACATAGCCCAGGCTAGTTTCAAACTCACTATCGAGGCAAGGGTGGCCTTAAATTCTGACCTTTCCTTCATTTCATTTCCCAAAGTGCTAGGGTAACAGGCATGTCCTATCATGCTTGGTTTGTATCTTGATTTTCAATGAAGAAAAAGAAAGCAATGTTGTTTCACCATGCTCGAATGTTGTCATGCTTTATTTAAAGCGCTCCCTTTTGTGTGCTGATGTGCACATGTGGGTGCACCTGTGACTGTGACGACGGATGAGATGACACTGGGTGTCCTGCTCTACTGCCCTCTGCCCTGTTCCTTTGTGGCAGTCTCTCACTGCGTCTGGGTACCAGTGCTTATCTTGTCTCTTTGCCCCAAAGTACTGGGTGCTGGGGTTATAGGAGTCTCAGGGCACACCTAGATTTTGACAAGGCTTCTGGGATTGGAACTTAGGTCTTCATGTTTGAACAGCAACTGCTCTGACCCTCAGCCACTTCAGCAGCTCTTACTATACTGATGTATACTGGACAGGGAAGAGTCTGCATAAAAACAGAACAAACACCCCCAGCCCTCCCCTCCCTGTTAAGAACTAACACACAGAGGAATACACAGCTGTAGTCTACCAACCATCCACTGTGTTTTATCAAACTGATATCCCTGAGTACAAGTTACCACTACCAAGTGTTTCCTGAATATAAAACAAACCTAGGGTGGTTGTGTAAGATAGGGAGACAAAGCCTAGTATACTAGTAGAATCCCCCCAAATACCAAGTCCTGTTTATACCTCCAAAACAATTTGAGACATGTTCTAATTTATAAATTCCCCAAAAGCCTTTGACCAAATAATAGTCTGAAGAGAGGGCCTTGTGAAAGCCAGGGGAACCTTGGCATTCAGCAAGATGTGATGGTGCACGTGTGTAATGTGTGTGACCCTCAGAGTGAGGGGCAGAGGCAGGAGAGCCAGCGGTTCAAAGGCATCCCTGCACACAGGACAAGTCTGAGGAGAGCATCCCTGCACACAGGACAAGTCTGAGGACAGTCTAGCTATGCAAGGCCCTGTCTCAAAAAGTAACAAACAAAACAAAGCAACAAGAAATGCTCATCAAAAATGATCAATTATGGATATCAACAAAGCATGGCATTACGTTGTAGTAAGTGTTAAGGCTGGGCAACACAACCCAAGGAGTTCACGGGAGGCCTGCCCTTTCCTGAATGGAAATGGAGGAGGGGAGGGAGAAGAAACTGCAGTCAGGATGTAAAATAATATAATAATGAACACTAGACAGGAAACAAGGCCAACGTAGCAATGGGGGAGCCGAGTTAGTAGGCTAGGGTAACAAGCCTAGGACTGTCGGCTACATCAAAGGCAGAAGCTGCTAACCCAGAGCCAGTCCAGTCCCCCAGTGACTCACTTCAGACTCTCCTTGTCCAGACCACTCCTGACATGGAAATTCACTCCATTCAGGTCTCACAGGCGTACCTGAGGAAATGAAATCTCAATACATTAAATCTCTATCTTCAACCCTTGAGAGTCAATACAAAACACATCCTACACATTTTAGAAACGATTTTCATGAACATGCCCAACAGCAACCCAACTTGAATGTTAATTTATATACTGAAAAGTGAAATAGTACATGTTGACATTAATGAATGAAAAGACACCAAATGCAAATACACTTATAATTGCATTTAATTTAATTTCAGTAGTTTCCAGTGACTACTACAAATGCAACCATTTAGCAATCTCAGGACGGGAAAACAACACGACTTTAAGAGTTTTTCAAGTGAGTGATAAAAAACTGTCAGCACCAACTAAAACTTACATGTTGATTCTAATTGCTCAGTATAAGAGCTACTAAGTTAAAATTAGCATTGTAGAAGAAATACTCACTGTGCTCACTTGCTAATACGAAAGATTCAGGAGTTCGTTCAGGTAGGGGAGGAGGTGACTCTTCACTAACATCAACATCTGAAGTAAACACAAAATCAGACATTTAAAAATAGTAAAAAGAAAAAATAGTAAAACACCATTGAAATAACAGAGAACTTTCTTGATAGCTCAAAAATAAAAATAAAAATCCCTGCCAACTATCAAAGAATTAGTTCCAAACATCATTACCAATCCATTCATTTTACTGAGCAGTCAGGTAATGGTGGCACACGCCTTTAATCACTGCACTCAGGAGGCAGAGGCAGTCAGATCTCTGAGTTTGAGGCCAGCCTGATCTACAGAATGAGTTCTAGGACAGCCAGGACTGTTTCACAGAGAAACCCTTTCTCCAAAAGCCAGACTTTTTTGTTGTTGTTTTCTTTTGTTTTTTTGAGACATGGTTTCTCTGTGGCTTTGGAGGCTGTCCTGGAACTCGCTCTTGTAGACCAGGATGGCCTCGAACTCACAAAGATCTGCCTGCCTCTGCCTCCCAAGTGCTGGGATTAAAGGCGTGCGCCACCAACGCCAGCCCAAAGACTTTTAATAAGCAAAGAAGGAACAGACTCCATTGCTACTGTACAAAGCAAATGACTCCCCTAACTTGCTGAAACTGAAGACATTACTTTGGACCATGAGGGTGAAAGTCTTCATTCAGTAAAGAAATCAGTGGCTTGCTGGGTTTCCTGCTGAAGTTTTGTGTGCAAAGAAAGCTGATCACTTGATAAAAGCCAGTGTTTCCTAAATGATCCAGTTGCTTAACTCGCATGAATTCTAAAAAATCATGCAGTCTGTCCAATTCACCTCATAATCTTCACTCATTTAAAAATTATGTACTTGAGTCCGATTTCAAGCAACTAAACTAAAAGATATAGTGTAGCTACTAATAGTTTAGTAACCATTTATGTACTACCCCAAGTACCCCAAGGATATAAACTAAAGCCATTTTAAGCCTTACAGTGCAGGATAAACCAGTGTATTAGGTCTTGGAATTCTTGTTCTAGGTAAAGAAAGGAAACAAGAGCAGACTAACAAATTCTAGTATAAAATTCCTTAATTTTTGTGTCAATTGTTTTACAAAGCAAGCAACAAATGAAGTATTAATCCACTATAAAGTAAATAATTCACGATATAAGGTAAGTGATTAGGAACAATCTCAGCACTTGGGAGGCAGAGGCAGGCAGATCTCTGTGAATTTGAGGCCAGTCTTGTCTATAGGAATAGTTTCACGACAGCCAGGGCTGTTAAACAGAGAAACCCTGTTTCGAAAAACCAATAAAACAAAACGAACCTCTACTTGTTTTTATTTATGTTCCCTGGTGTTTTGCCTATACGTGTGTCTGTGTGAGGGTGTCGGCTCCCCTGGAACTGGAGTTACAGACAGTTATGAGCTGCCGTGTGGGTGCTGCGAATGGAAGTTGGGGCCTCTGGAAGAACAGCCAGTGCTCTTGACCACTGAGCCATCTCTCTAGCCCTGAAAAATGACTACTTGTGGCAGTCACGGTAATGTATTCCCAGACGTCTCAGAGCACAGGGGATTGAAGAAGAAAGACGAAGTTCCAGGCCCTTATCTTAAAAACAAAGCAAGAGGGAAGGGGCCATGAAGATTTCAAGAAGCGGTACTACACAGCAGCCATGGTGATACACACTAGAATCCCTGTCAAGGGAGGTGGAGGCAGGAGGATGCAGTTCCAAAAAGGCCGCCCTCCACAAGGAGGCCTGTCTTCTGGACACGGCTGCTTCAGCAGGGAGGTCCTGAAGCACAGACCTGGTAGCAGTGCATGTGCACCCTTCTCAGGGCTGAAGGGGTTAAAAGCTTCTAGTCAGCTGAGTCCCAGGCTGTTGTGGGCTGACTTCACACTGAAAGCAACTTTTTAGCAAGCATTTGTGAAAAGAGCTCTTTAAAGTGACTTTGCAGTCAAAGATAGGAAAGAGAACTATCGCACATTTATAAGAAGATAGGAAAGAGAACTACCACGTATTTATAAGAGCACGGGTGAGACTGATGGCTAAGCAGGGTTCTACATAATTTGTGTCATCAATACCTCAAATTATTTTAATCTACTTTATTTCTGTTTAGTCAGATAAATCTGACTTACACAAAGCACTAAGCTGTACAAAACAAGACCAAAGCAATCTTCTAGCAATGATAGGACTATGGAAAACACAGTGCCCACTGACACAACGATGAAATCATGGTAGCAATAAATACAAGCTTATTAAAAAATGTTATCTAAGGGGCCAGGGAGACGGCTCAGTGGTTAAGAGCACAGCTGCTCTTCCAGGAGCCAGGTTCAATCCCCAGCACCCACATGGCAGCTCACAGCTGTCTGTGATTCCAATTCCAAGGGATCCGACAACCTCATACAGACATACACGCAGGCAAAAATACCAATGCACATGAAATGAAAATAAATGCAATTTAAAAAATGCTACCTAAAAAACAGCTCAGTTTTGTTGTAGGTTCCAGCATGGTGTGAAATCATAATGCATGGACAGAGCTAAACCGTGTAGAACAGAGATGGGCAGGTAACAGAGCCACAGTGAGACCACATTACCTTTTTCAGCACCTGTCAAATCCTGCCGAGCAATGGACATCGTCAACACCTTCCTAGTGGAAGCGCTTTCGGCACTCCTGGCAGCAGAAACGGTGGCACTTGCCGTTGAAATGCTAGTTTTGCTCTTGGTCACAGCACCATCCAAGTCCCTTTCATCTGAGTCTGAGTCATCAGAGTGAAGAGGGTTGGTAAAGCTGAGCGGTGCTCCCAACATAGGGGAGCTGTCTTGGGGATCCACAAGCTCTCGGGCCCCGACTTCTGGAGTAGAGCTTGCTGTTGAACTCGCAGTTTTTACAGGCTGAGAATGGTTATCTGGTGATTTCCCTTCAGATGAGTCAGACACAGGGCTGGCATTTTCAGGTCCATGAAATGACCATGTTACATGTCCTTTCTTATCAAGAGGCAAGCGGTCTGGCCGTGGCAGTGTGAGTGAGTCTGGAGATTGTTCTGAAGAATCGGGGGCTCTGTCTAAAGGTACCGCACTGCAGTCCACACAAGAATTCTGAGGAACATCGTCAACTTTTACATCACCCGAATTTAACTCCTGTGGCCTGGAGGTCTTGTCGGTCACAGACATCGGAGCAGATTTAATCTTAATTGCATGTGCTCTATTCAAGAGTGCGTTCCCATCAAAACTTTTGGGTCCCTCTTGGAGAGGGACTTTCTTAATCTCAAAACTTAAATTTCGCTCTAGTTTCTTGTCTATGTGTTCAACAGTGGACTCATTTCTCCCTGCAGCGTCTGATGACTTGTTATAATTTCTGTTGAGGTCTGTCGAGTGTTGCTCTGATGAGACCACGTGTAGCACTGGCTTTGGGTGGTACCTGTCATTGTCCTGCCACACAGTGGTAACGGTTGGAAAGGCTGAAGGGGGAGAAGGGGTCAGGACGGGCGGCACCGGGTGAGGCTCCGGAGGCTGCAGTATCTCTTCCTTGGCGTCCCCTTCCACAAGGCAGCTGCAGACAACAAACCGGGTTTAAAGACGTTAACACTTTAAAAGGAGCTGACTAATGATAACTGCTAAATCCACTACAATATGGCTAAAGTTCTCACTAGTAAGACTAAAACAAATCAGTATTTATAAAGGTAACACAAATGTATTTTTTTACACTTATAGGACTTTAATGAAACACAGTAGTTCCCTTCCATTCTGTATTAACCAGCGGCACCATCTAAGACTTTTTCCTGTGGCTGGGAGGTGGTGGCACACACCTTTAGTCTCAGCACTGGGAAGCAGAGGCAGATGGATCTCTGTGAGTTTGGGGACACTCAGGACTACATATAGGGAAAAAGAAAACTTTTATAGCTACTTTTAAGACATTGACACTGCTATTATTTCTTGATCTTTTTGTTTTAAGCACTAAACTTCCTACTTTGGAAATACCTCCTAGCCTAGCTTCTCATTATTCTTACAGTTTTGTTCAGCAAAATCTACGACCATTGGTATTATTCACACTTACGACACCATGTTTTCTTTCATTCTAGAACCTCGTTTTCCTGTTAGTCTTGGAGTTGTAATGGCTCAGTTCTGTGAGTGTCCTGTCAGGTCATGCACACCAGGGAGGCGGGCATCACACCACAGTCATTCCTCTGTAGACGGTGTGGCCGCCCCACCCAGGCTACCAAGGATCTGCGCTTCAGACTTGCATGTTCCCAGTCCATCATACTCTCTACTCTCACTCTCATTTTGCTGTGCTAAGGCAAACTTTTGTTTTAAAATTATGTTGCCTTTCAACCAGAGTCTCAGGGCATAACCTAGTCTGGCTTTAAACGCACCTGCTGCCTCTGTGCCCCAAATGCTGGAATTATAGGTGTGCACCACCTTACTCAAGAGATGTAACCTTCTAGAGGACTAATATACTTGTACCTTCAAAGGTACTGACTTCTAATAAAAGCAACTGTTCTCTGTAGCCTTATGGTTCTGATTAAGTATAGTGCAGTTGTAGTGAGGGTCCAGCATGCAAGACAATCTGGGTTCAATCCTCACCAACAAACAAACACATCAGCCCCTCCCCCTTTGCTAGAAAGCTAATATATTAGTGGAAGAAAATAATAAAAACTGGGAGCATGGCACAGGTCAATTTCCCACACCCACATGGCAGCCCATAAATGTTTGTAACTCTAGTCCAAAAGGACTGATGCTCTTTTCTAGCCTCTATGGGCACCAGGCACACACAGGGCAGACAGGTGTAAATGAAGTTTAAACACCCATACACATTGAGTGTAAGTCCACGGAGGCCAGAGGACACTGGTGCCCCTGGAGCGGGGTTAAGGTGGTAGCGAGAAAAACCAACGTTGGTCCTGGGAACTGAACTTGGGTCCTTCACTGCTGAGCCGTCTCTCCAGCCCCACAGTTGCTTACGTTCTCAGCTGAAAACGTGGTGTCTTCTATAGCACTTACATCCCAGAGTTGAGAAAGCTGCCTTTACCCATGCTGAGCCTTTCTGACCTCTAACAACAACCTTAAAATTGTATGAGACGCAAAGATGTTTTCCACAGTGAAGGAATCCAGCGGGAGAAGACGCGGGGCACAAAGTTAGAGAGCTACTTTAGGAACAAGCGTATGACCTAAGCATGCCAATCTGCAACCAACAGCAAAACTTTCCATTGTCAAGTGATGAACTTAGCTCAGTAATATTCTGCTCTAAACATTTAAGTGAAGAAATTAATTAATCTCATCTGTGATCCCATGCATTAAGGCTGGGCAAGGGAATGCAGAATGAGGAGTAGGGTCCCAAAAGTCAGCAAGAGTCAGCGACAGTCCCTGACCTCATTGTTAGGAGCCCCATAAGATGATCACGCTACACTACTGTAACATGTATACAGAGTGCCTGGGCAGACCAGACCCAGACAGGCTCCCTGGCTGTCAGCTCAGTCTCTGTGAGCCCCTATGAGCCTAGGTTAGTTGATTCTGGGGTCCTCCTTGTGGTCTCTTTCATTACTCCCCCCTGTCACCTCACCCCATTTGTTTTCAATGGTCTCATTTTTTATATTTAGTTCATTTAACCAACCAAAGCTTTAATAGGTGTTTGGTCTGATAAAAATCATCGAAGCCTATGTTCTTGTTTTCAAGATGGTAAATGGGTTTTGCAGTACAGGAAAATAGACAATAAGTACTGTTTGGCACATACATTCTTAGGAAAAATACTTTATGTGTGTGTTTGAGCCTTAAGAGTTCAGAAGCATTATTGCATGCCCTGGAACTGAACCCAGGACCTCTGTAAGAACACCAAGCGTTTTACCTCTGTAAACCAGGCTGGCCTGTATCTGAGATTCAGCTGCCTTGTGCTTCCCATCCCAAGTGCTGGAACTAAAGGTGTGTTCCACCATCCTCACAAATACATTCTTACCTGCAGCGCTCATTAGTCATCTATTCAAAGCCATGAATTGGTAACACGTATGTGTGGGTGCACTTGTCTATGCGTGCTCACGTGATGGCCAGTGGTCAGATCAACTTATCTGTCATGCCCCACCTTGTTTTGAGACAGGTTTTCTCACTGAACCTGGAGCCTCTCTTTTTGGCGAGACTGGATGCTGAGCTTCTGGGATCTGCCTGTCTCTATCTCTCCTTCCTTTTATTGGTGGGGTTAGTGCACATGCCACCATGCCAAACTTTGACATGGGTACCGTGGAATCAAACTCACATTCTCATGCCTGCATAGCAACACTTTAACCACTAAGCATTTCCCATCTAGCCATGGGACTTTTGTGAAACCCTGTGTTGGAAAAAAGAAAAAGAAAAACAAACAAAAACAAAAAAACTGCAAAAAAGAAAAAAGCTAAATGACATAATTTTTCCAACCAATAAACTTTAATTTTTTTGGTCAGTCAAAATAATAAACCTCTACTTCAAATCCTACTTTCTGTGTTTGCTATCCTATAAATAAATGTCTTTAAGACAACTTACTTGAATTTAGTGCAGTTGTCTTTTAAAAAGTTAAAGACTCAAGGCTGGTGAGCTGGCCCGTTGATTAAGAAACTGTTGCTTTTCCAGAGGACCAAGGTTTGATTCCCAGAACTCACATGGCAGCTTACAGCCACTTTTTACTTCAGTTCTAGGGATTCCAATGCATCCTTCTTACATACATACATATTTAGAGATTTAACTGCATACACATACATACATGCAGGTAAAAGACTTATACACATAAAACCAAATGAATAGTTATTAAAATAAATACATAACTAACTAACTAAATTAACTAACCAGCCCACCCACTCCCTATTACTCTTTAGCCCAGGCTATTGTTTGCAGCAACCCTCTTAAATGCTGGTCTTACACCAAGCATCATCCAATTGTATACTTGCTAAGTGCATGTGTTCCAACACACTCTGCTGTTTGTGGGCTTCCCAAACTAGACAGTTCTAAAGGCATTGGCACGAACCAACCACGACTTCTTGTTTGAATTCCACAAATGCTTAAGTTTTACACATAGGTGTGAAAGTCTAGTTCGTTTTCCCAGGCAGCACTCTGCTGGGAGCAGACATTCATGCTACTTTTTTGCCATATAAAATGTTCTCTTGGGGCTGGGTGTGTGCTTAGTGCTAGATGCTAGCCTCCCACACAGGAAACCCTGGCTTCCTTCCTCCTCCACGGCTCTACACCACTGTTTTCCAGCTGTACTTTTTCCTTTATGCTATACCCAGAATCTGGAGATCTCACACTCAAACCTTGGCCAAGACAGGCATTTGGGGCACCATCTTGAAATAAGAACTTCTGACTAGTTCTCCTAACTTATGGAAAACCACTTCAAGGAAAGGAAAGGAAAGACTTCCTATTTTAACACCAAAATATGTACTCTGGTACAATGTGCTACTAACACTTTATATCAACTCAAACACAAACTTTAACATACCAGTAGCAAACAACTGTGAATGTGCTACATCCTAATGAATTAACCTGCTAAAAGAATTGTTCAGAATCTGTGATTTTAGTTGTGTCAGTAGAGTAAAGGAATCCGCTTAGAGAGAAAATGTCCTATGGCACAGTACCTCCGAGTCCTTGGTGGCTTTGGAGGAGGAGAATCTTGTTTTTCACTATCGACGGAGCTGACCATATTTCCAGTGGTAATTTCATTCTGTCAAGGGGAAAACAAGGTTTCCTTGATTGATACATGAAAGAACTGAACCCATAAAGTTTGTCTAGGACCTCTATGCACAAGCTGTGCTATATATCCCTACATCATGATGTGCACAAGCAAACACACACATACTCCATAATAATACATTTTTAAAAATTGATGACCCAGTAAGATCATTTAAGCTAAAATGGTAATGAATTACAACATGACAAAAAGGGACTAACTGGTGGCCCTGTAACTCTGCCTTTTAGAGTGTGTAACACATTGGCATGGTGATGTTATGTCTATAATCCCAACACTCAAGGAGGCCGAGACAAGAGAGCCTCAAACAGCCGGGGTTACATAGCAAGATTGTTTCACAACATAAAAATGTACATAATGTACAGAAGTACAAAATGTTATACTACCACGTCAAACCAAATTCAAGCAGACCCAACACAATTATTTAGTCGTGGGTAAAAGTAAGGGGAGAATAATGTAGTTAGGTTTTTAAAAATGTAGCTTATACTTGAATCAAAAATGAATACTGACTTTGACATAAGATCTTTCCTATAATTTTCTTATTGAGTTCAAGTCACTAATTCTCTACCGTAACAGAGTAAAAGTTAAGTAAGGTAAGTTTAAGTCAGATAAAAATAACTTTAGTCATGGACATTCTCACAACGCTGTAGCATAAGCTAAATCTTGGTTAGATAGAAGTGAAGAATACTCACACTATCAGCGATTTTCTGTGCTCCATGAATTTCATACAGTTGTAGCTGTTTTTCAAACAGTTGTGCAATAGCTCTATGGACAAGCTCATATTGCTCCTATTAGAAAGAGAAATGATAAACAGGAGACAATGAGAAACACCAGAGGAAACATCTATGGAAATATGATTTATAACAGAAAAAAATTAAGTATACCTTTGTTTGTACTGCAGAGTGCCTTTGTGTTCGCATTTCTTGTATTAAATTAAATACGTTAAATTCCTCTGGAATTTTCTAAAACAAAGAATTTAACATATGTAACTGTAGACAATGTTCCACACAGGCCTTAGGCACAGGGTGATCAACAGCAGATATTCCCTGAGAACTACCCTTCAGACACAGAACGCACTATGGCCACAGCTCATCCAATCCTCAGTAGTCACTACAGAGCATGACTACAGCATGCAGGGAATAAAGGCCATAACAAACTGATGGAGTAGAAATTAAATAGCTACGAAGGGCCGAGAGGATAGCCCAAGTCAGTAAACACTCACATAACCCACACAGACACAGGGTGCTGGCAGAGTTTGAAACCCTAGTTTCCTGAGAGACATTATCTCAAAATGATGGTGGTGAATGAGCCAGGAAGACAGCTGAAGTCAACCTCTGACCACCATATGCAAGGGCACACACTTGTGCACACATAAACCATACATAAACACATGCATGTGAACACACACAAATTTGAGTAAAAGGTTATGTATCCAACCATGGGAGACTGATTATTTGGAGAATGATGAAGTTGAACACTGATAGAGCCTAAGATAAGGTTACTTGAAATCAGACTGTAAATATAATAAAGAATTTGACTTCACTGTAGGCCACTGTGTCCTTAGACATTCTGTAAGTTTCATCCCCAGGTGATGACTGTAAAACCACCTGGACAACTCCTGTCCATTTCAAACTGAGATTACAATCCTGAGACACATTTGTGCTCTGCCAACCACTACCCCAGGAATGATGACAGTCTCGACAGGGAAAAAGTGATTAGGATTTGGGGCCTAATAAAGAGACTCTGCTGAGTGAGGGAGACTGATGAGTAGGGAATGATTTCAAGGGTTATAGCTTCAGTCTTTATAGACATTAAAGGATTTTTACACATACTTCCAGTTGAGGCCTAAGTTACATTTATGTTAAGAAAAAATGAATCAAGTGGGGACTATAATTGAAAAATACAACTTAAGTGATGTTTCAAACAAATATTTAAATATTTTTCCCAAATTTTGTTTGCTGGTATTTAAATACCCTTTATTCCAATTTTAATTTTTGACTTTAAAAATATCTATTTATATTCTGCAGGTGTGTGTTTGAGTACATGTTCATACGTGTATCCAGTGCTTGTCTGAGGTTGGAAGGCCTTGGTTACGTTGGAACTGAAGTTATGTGCTACCATGTGAGTTCTGAAACTGAACCCTGATCCTCTGTAAGAGCAGCAAATGCTCTTTACTGCTAGGCCTTCAATCTAGTCCCGTCATTTTTTACTTTTATGATAAAAGTGAGAGCCAGGCACAGTGGCACATGGCTTTAATCTCAGAACTTAGGAGCCAGAGGCAGGTGGATCTCTGTGAGTTCGAGGATAGTCAGAGCCACATAGTGAGACCTTGAGTTTCAAAACAAACAAAAAAGTAAGAATCCTAGTGAAGGCTTTCATTAAAAAATTTCACATTAGGAAAAGATTAGTTTTTATAGAATAAAAACATGAATTTTAATCCTAGAGAAATTCTTAAATAATTATTAAGACTTGTTATCCCCTCTACCCAGGGTGGGGGACAGTCAATGGCAGGGAAAAAGAAAACTGTTACACCTCCTATTTTTTACAAAATGCTGACTGACATACTCATAGCAAATTTCAAGCTATGGAAGACTAAATTTGCTTATCACAGAGAAAATGAACACAGTATGAGCACATGTACATTCAGAGAAAAGGCTGTCCTGACCTTTGTGGCTCCTACATCAAACAATTTATGTAAATAATAAAGGTAGAAACAACAATGCTGACAACAACCCTAATAACTAAAATCCCACAGTCAATTACAGACGCAGAATTTTGTTCTAGACACCTGGCCCCATACTCAGTAGTCTTATAAACACTACAGGGGAAATATATTAAATAGGAAATATATGACCAGAGAAACAAGAGAGGAGAGATGAGAGGCCAACACTGTACTGACTTTATCTGAAGCCCATGCAGAGCCATTCCCTGATGAGAGTGGTATTCATTTAGTAGAGAACAAACCCCTGCCCTGGTGTCTGTTCACAATCTCAGGCAGTATGCAATGTTTACACTTACTCACTATAATTATTTACACGGTAAAGCTAATTCTGGGAACATAGCATATCTAAGAAAACATGATGTAACTTTAACAGTTAAATTAATGTGAAGCTCACAATAAGCAGAATACAATACTATATAAAAATCATTCTTACCCCAGCTTTGAGCAAGTTCCATGTATAATCTATGGCACAGATAGCACCTGTTCTTCCACAGCCTGCACTAAAGATAAAAAGTTTGAGAAAAAACTTTGATTTTCTAAAATAAAAGGCATAGTAACATTCAGAAGCAAAAAATTTAAATTTTTATGAAATTCTACTTAGTGAACAAAATACAAATTAAAGCACAGAAACAGCACTTTCCTTTAACATTAAAATCTGAGTATTTAAACTTTTAATTAACAGTAAGTGATTCACAGGAAAACTGTAAGCCATAACTCTGCAAGTCTTGCCAGTAGTACACTGTAGAAAGAAAGTTATTCTCAATAGTTGTCAGCATAATAGAGTGCTCAAGGTGGCTTTATGCTTTGGCTCACAGGGACCAATAAACTGTAACAGGTGGCGGAGAAGGTCACAAGACCTAGGGATGAGCTGTAGAACCAGCAGTGCATTCAGCAGCCAGCATCCCATAAGGGAGGACAACCGGCCTCCACGTCACCTCCTCAAGGACACCAGGGGCTAGGCATTTAAAATGATGTGGGGAGCTTCTTGTGAACGTACCCCAGAGCAGCCTGTGCCGACGGAGCACATAGGAGGCAGAGGCAGGGAGTTTTTGAGTCCCCAGTCCATTTGGGACAGGATTTAAGATCCTGTCTACAAACACACACACTACATCTCGAATGGACACATTTTCTTTTCTTTTGTAGACATGCTTTTTAAGTTACTGCAGTTACACAGTTTTGTTGCTAAAAAGCATTAAAAATCAATTTTCAAAACCAGAAAAATCCAACTGAAATGAGACTTAAGAATTATGGTTATTGACTGAATAATATGACAGAACAGTAAATAATTTCAAATTGTAAAACAGCTAAGTCAAAACAATTTCTTTATCTTTCAATTCCAGAACAAACAGCGTTCTTTTTTAATCAGTCCACTACTTGATTCATCACTGAACTAAGTATGGAAAACTGTTTTAATTCAGCAAACCACTTCTGGAATAAGAGGCAGAAATCAGTCCTCTTCACTAATCATAAGATACCAGTTAGATAAGAAAATTTCAAAATTAAATCATTTCAAAAAAGTAATTCACTAATAAGTCTCTATGTCTGAACATTTTCATTACTTAAAAAGCTATTTAATATGCACGAGCTTTTGTCTTTCTGTCTGTGAACCACACGCACACACGGGTTGTGCCCAGAGAAGCCAGAAGAGGGTGTGATGTCCCCTAGAACTGGAGCTGTGAGCTGCCCTGTGGGTGCTGGGAATCAAACCTGGGTCCTCTGGAAAAGCAGTCAGTGCTGAGACAGTTTCCTTTCTTTCTTTTGTTTTTGTGGGGGGGGAGGAGAGCACAGGGTTTATGTGTCCCAAGTTGGTCTCCTATTCACAACCCTCCTGCTTTTGTCTCCAGAATGCTGGATTACAGGCACCCATCACCATACTGTGTTTGCTTTATTAACTTCTTATAATAAATTACAGATACAAACAACTTAGCAAGATAAATTTAGGGTAATTTTGAGAAATACTGACTCTAAGGTCTTTTGAAAAATAGAAAAATTGCCTCAGGAAAAAAAATTGCCTCAGGAGTCAAGTAGCTTTTATACTATTTGGAAATACATGGATTTATCTAATGAAATGCTACATTAGGTTTTGTAACATCCTACATGTTACTAACAATACAGTCATGACTATACTGCAAAGGTACCTCCAACACACGTTTTCATGACTGATCCAACATTTATTCTTTTAAAAATTGTATCCTCAGTAACATTCTTACACGCATTATACATGGAGACCTACAAATGAAGCTAAGGGGTGTGGTTTGGATGAGAAGCACCCTCCACAGACTCAAACTGAACATCTGGTCTCCATTGGTGGCACTCTGTGTGGGAGTGTGTTGTGGACCTTTAAGAACTAGAGCCTGGCCTGGCTGGAGTAGCTACAGTATTGGAGGTGGGCCCATGTCTTTCCTAACTATTTCTTCCCTCTGAAACTATAAAGTTAAAAAAAACAAAAACATTTCTTCCTTAAATTGTTTTGGGTCATACTATTTTACGGACAGCAACAATAAAAACGGTGACTACTTTTCCTCTGTTTAACGCACTGCTTAGTGTTTCCCTTAGCTGTGTCCCTGGAGTCTTTTTGTTTAGGGTTTTGCTGCTGCTGCTCTCCTTCCTCCCACTCCTTATACAGTCTCTCAAGCAGTGAGATTATAGGCATGAGTCACTCTATCAAGTCCTTCAACACTTAATTTAAACCAAGCTGGGTATGGTGGCTCATCCTTGCACCTGGGAGGAAGAAGTAAAAGTTCAAGGCTCACCTGGGCTATAAGACAAGCCAAAAAAAGAGAAAGCAATGGTCATCTAAGTGAGCCACCCATTTAAAGATCTTTATAAAAAGGGTTGCAGCGAAAAGTCTATCACAAAATCTGCAGCAGAGTCTCACAAATGCAAGCTGCAGCAGTCCCACAAATGCAAGTTGCAGCAGAGCCTATCACAAATGCAATCTGCAGCAGAGTCTATCACAAATGCAATCTGTGACAGAGTCTATCACACTGGCTGCCAGTGAGACAGAGAATAAAGGGTTCACAATATTTAAGGATACAGAAAGCATATAAATGCTTACTTAGGCAGATAGGGAAAAATCAAGACTATCTTCTGCCAAACTGGAATGTTTCTTTGCTGTTCATTTTAAAGACTTCAAGGCTTAGGAGTAGAAAAATAATCAGACAATAAAAGTAGGTCAGTCTGTTTAATTAAAAATAGATGGTTATCTTATTTAACACAATTAACCTCTAACACACACTTGGAGCACAAAATTAGTTACCCCCCAGTTGCCCCAGAATTCAAAGGCTAGGTTTACATGTCAAATAACTAACTTCGCAAAAAAGTAATTGGAATTTAAACATACCTGAAAAAGTAAAAACATTTCTATAAAGTAGCTGAATATAGCTATATCTAAAGTTAAGACTGCTGCGGGACAAGTCATTATTTAATTTTAGGTAATGCTACACAGCACAATTTTAAAAAGTTGTTTGGTAAACTCACGATACCAGCTTGACCTACATAAAACACAGTTTTAAGCCTTTAATCCTCAAAAAACCTTGGGAGATTGGCATATTTAATAATAAAAGCCACCCACCACAAATTTTTAAAAGGAAAAAAAAAGAATGTTAGTTTCAAGGTATGCTTAAGATTTCAACAATTTTAAGCTATAATTTCATAGCATGACAGGCAGACATGGATTCTTGTTCCTCAGGAAGAAAAACAGCACTGAACATTTTGTCACTTGGAAAGCACCTTATAACCTACACTGAAAGAGTTCTGAAGTTGGTATATGTCTTACAAACGGCACCTTTGCTGTGTGGCTGGCACTGGACTGGCCTTTTAAATTCCTATGTTTAATAAGTGTGACATGATGATGTTTCCTTCTTCTTTCCTTCTGTTTTTCAGACAGTCTTACTACGTAGCCCTGAATGGCCTTGGCCTCTCAGATCCTCTTGTGTCAGCTCCCTTGGTTTTGGGATTATAGGCATGTTCACCGCACCCAGGACTTGTCTGAAGACCAATGGTGTCTTAGACCAGAAGACCTATGCAAATCTATACACAAAGTCTGAGACATTGGTCATATCAGGGAATACGATGATTTAAAAAAAAAAAGATTTATTTATTTATCACATATATAGTGTTCTGCCTACATGCCAGAGGAGGGCACCAGACTGAATTGTAGAAGGTTGTGAGCCACCATGTGGTTGCTGGGAATTGAACTCAGGACCCCTGGAAGAGCAGTCAGTGCTCTTAACCTCTGAGCCATTTCTCCAGCTCTATGATGATGTTTTACTGTAACACTTAGATAGTCTATTAACTAGATTAGATTATATCAATTCACAGGGCCTCAAACATACTATAACAGGGCTAGGAAAGTTCAAGATACAAAGCAACAAAAAATAAAACTTTATTTCCTAACAAACTGATCACTGTACTTGTCTACATTTTAAAAATTCTTTTGTACCTGCAATGAATACAAATAGGCACATCTTCATGTTCTTGGTATTTCCTCATTAAGCTTATCATGTCCAGAATAGAATCAAACGATGAAGGAACATCATGGTCTGGCCAGTTCACATAATGAAACTGATAGAGCCGACGAGATTCCTTCATGAAAATAGAAATTCGGTAATTAGAAAAATATATTTACAAACTTTGAAGTTATGCATTTCATTTAACTATCATTTCTAAGATACCTTTTAAAAATGAAATAAACAATAGCCTTCATTTATTGACTACTTACCATATACCCGGTATTGATGATGTCTCATATGTAATAATTTATTTAGCATCCACAAGGAAGGTGGTGCTCACCTTTTACAGGTGAGGAAATTTAGACATATTAATTTGCCTGGTGTTTTATAGGAAAATAGCAAATGCAAGATGTAACCCAAGTGATAGTAACACATACAAGATGCTCTTAACCCACTCTAAACTCTTAACCAACACTATAACCCACTTAACCCATGTCTCATAACCCACTCTATACTATAAAATTGATGATACATCATTTTTAGACTTCATTACAGCTAGAGGACCAAGAGAATATCCTAAAAAGAAAAAGAATGTCCAACTCCAAATCCATTTTTCTCACTGTAGGTGATTGGTTCTCCACTTGTGGTATAGGGAACTGTCTATCTCCTCTCAATCCTTTGGGGCAACTGGGACAGGAATGGGGAGGTTTGTGTTCAGAATAATGCTAAGATTTTACTTTCCTTTTCCTTTAACCTGTCAATGTAATATAGACTTATGTATTCCATGTCTTTAAACTTTGTCCAAATTTTTAATTTTATAGCAAATACTGAAAACAAAAGCCCACATAAATTAAAGATCCAAAGAAACTTCACTAACTCTAAAAAATATTTATTTTCATTTATGAAGCTGAGTGAACAAACACATGTTCCATCTTCTGAAAGTGGAGTTATAATAGTATGAGTTGTGAACCACAGTCGGGCTGGAAATAACCTGGGTCCTCTGCAATGGAAGGGTTCTTAACCTCTGCGAAGTCTCCCTAGCTCTCAGTAACTTTTAAGATTGCTTATTCTAGATGTCAACTTAAAGAACAGATCTTGGAATTCAGTTCCAACATTCAAGTTATGTATCTGTCATCTATGAAGTAGGCAAGTTATTTAACTTCTCAAATACCCTTTACCTATGTGAATTACACACTTTTTATAGTTAGGATCACTGATTTATCTGATACATGTGTAGAAACTAAGGTACTAACTAGGGATAAAGCCTGCAACTTACATATAATAAACGATTCAACTAAAGGGTATGATTAGTAAAATCAGGGAGAACAGTCTTACAAGGTAACAGTTTGTCAAAAGAAAGCAGGTAGGCTTAGAAACGGATTGGGAAGAATGATGCACCTTATGACCAAGTCAGACTAACAAAAACAGATGAGAAAGAAGCTGAGAAGCATTTTTCCAATGTCCTTTGAGTGTCTGGTTTCTTCCCTGAGAAATTATCATTTTTTTGGGGGGGGTCTGAATCATTAACCTAAGTAAATTAAGATTTGCATTATTTTAACTCTCAGTAAACTTTTTAAAATTCACATTGTTTTACTATAAATTTGGTAAGTGAAAGGCGCAGACACTAAATAAAGTGCATAAAAGCAAATCCAAGACTCAGCAAGAATGGGGTGGTGGGAACAAGTGTGAATGGGAACAGGCACTCTTTATCTATAATGGGAATTGCTTACATTTTGAAACTCAAGTAAAAGTGTTCGAATGAAGTAGTCTGTTCTTGCTTGCTCGTTTTCCTAAAATGAGAAAAACTTGTGAATCAGTAAAAACATTAAAATGAAAAGGCATACATATCAAAATACTTAAAAGTACTCAACCTAAACATTCTAACATTTAGAATTTTGGACATATCTAATAATTACTTAGACATCTCAAAGTCATGCATTAGAGTTTTTCACGGTGCTGGGGATCTGAGCACAAGGCCGGCTAGGAAAACACACACTGAGCTATATGGTTACTTCCTATGTCCATCTACTGATCATTTAATCACGACTCTGCCATCTACAGAACAGAGCATAGCAGCAATCATCCCCAGAACCATTCAACAAGACAATCCAAAAAGAACGTCACGACGTCATGTCTGCCACTGCACCCCATTTTCAACCACACTGTCTCAACTCTCAATTTAAACGAATAGCAACTCAAGAAACAAGGGAAGAAAACCCCATCATTAGTCTCATTATGGTTGCAGGGAACATTAACACCTCTGAGTCTACACCATCTTTTAGAGTATTAGAAGGAAGTCTGACATTTGCCTGCTGCCGAGTTCTTCTTTTTTGTCTGTTAGCTCTAACCACAGACAGCTTAGGTCAGGCATTAACAAGAATAAAATACGCTACTCACTAATAAAATAGATATCCACTATTACTCTAGGCTGGGAATTTATATATTTATTTATTGTTTTAATTAATTTATTATTATTTGTTTTTTCCTTTCCTTTCCTTTCTTCTGTTTTTTGAGACAGGATTTCTCTGTGTAGCTCTGGCTGTCCTGGAACTCACTTTATAGACCAGGCTGGCCTCAACTTCAGACATCAGCCTGCTGTCATGTCTGTGTCACGTCCCTCACCCAAAGCATGTGCTACCATGTCCAACCTTTTTTATTTTTCCATCTACTGCTAAGAGGAAAATGTACTTTACTTCTCAAAAGGAGTCAAGAAGCTAGCATGCTCACCATGCCTATCACCCCAGCACCCGGAAGACTAGAGTGGGAAGTCTTTCAAGTTTGAGGCAGACTTGGCTACAAATGCAACCAAATGATTTGCACAAAGCCTGGTGGGCTAGAGCTGACACCCAGGCTCAGCAGCCTCCTGCACAACACAGGAATGAACTCCTGCTAGCTGGTCTCCTCCTCTGACCACCACAGCACTCTTCTTTACTCTATACCAACAGTCCCCACAAGGCTCATTTTATATGCTATGGCTGTTCTCACTAGCATACTTTCAGTTTGCAATTAAAATCAATGAAAATAAGAGTTGTCTTGACACAAAAACCCATAGAACAAGGGTGTGGGGGTGGAGAGGTGCCTTGGTCCTGCCTCGACGAGATGATGGGAGGGACTTAATAGACTTCCTAAGGGAGGTCTTACCGTCTCCAAGGAGCAGATGGGAGGTGGGGGAGTGGGAGGAGAGGAGGGAAGGGGAACTGAGATTGGAATGGAAAAAAAAATAAATAAATTCATGGGGAAAAAAAAGCACAGAAATTCCTTTTTAAAGTCTTCAGCATGAATTAATTTTGATACTGACAAATCAGATCAGTTTTTATTCACTAAACCAAACCTCATATTAAGAAGACTTTTAAAAATTTAGTTCAGATGAAAACCACCCAGAAGTCTATTCATTTTTCTCCCTGCTTATGGAACTGCTGTGTTGTTGAATACTGAACAACAAATTTTTACATGAATTGTGACATTCACTACAGTTGTCCTATTGCATTTAAAAATTCGTAAGTGTTAAACATAACCACATCACACAGAACTAAGTTCCCTGAACTATCCTGGGACCTAATGTAGAATCATTTCACACTAACAGGGTATGATTTTACTGAGGTATGTTGTCGTGTGTATTAGTTATTACTCATCTTAGATAACCCATAATGTAGCCGATTAAAACAGAACACCTTTTGCCCAGTGTGGTGATATATACTTTTAACCCAAATTCTCAGGAGGCAATGGCAGGCTGATCTCTGAGGTCAAGGCCAGTCATGGCTACAGAGTGAGACTCGGTCTCACAGAGAAAAACAAGTCACAAAAACCTTTGACACTGTCCCATAAACCATCCATTTTAACTACAATTTCAGAGTATTTACTGCAGATTGAATTTGAGTTCAATAGATTTCTTTTGGATTTACCAACCTCCATAATTTCACGAGCCCTTAAAATAAAGCTCTCTACACGCCCCACTCCCACTCCATTTAGCCCCACTGTTCTGTTCTCTGAAGCAAGTTCAGGGTCATTTTCAGTTGGGCAAACACAACACTTATTCTAGGTGACTAAGAAATAAGACACTGAATGCAATAAGTAACTATCTCAGCTCATTTCCATTTACTTCATTTCCTCTCACGCCCCCCTTCTTCTCTCTCTTCATCATTTTAGCTTCCTTTTCTAAACTTCTACTGTGGCAGTGTTTGAACTTGAGTTTAACTCCAGAGATCATTAAACAGTGGGAATACACTCTAGGTCTCCACCTTCACACCTGCGCCAGGGACAGGATCTTCTAGTTTGGTCTAAAGCATTGGCTCTCGACCTTCCTAATGCTAAGACCCTTTAATACAGTCCCTCAGCTGTGGTGACTCTCAACCATAAAATCATTTTCCGTGCTACTTCATAACTGTAATTTGCTACTGTTATGAGCTGTAATGTAAATATTTTTGGAGACAGAAGTTTGCCAAGGGGGTCACAAGCCACAGGTTGAAAACTACTCGTCTATAACTTGCTACGAGGACCAAGCCCACTGGAACAACGCTCCTGAGAGGTGCTGGGACAGACGTGTGCCACCAGGCCCAGACTATAGCTTAGGGTTCACATCAAATTATCTGCTATAAGGGATAACCCTCGCTTTCAGGATAGCAATTCTCAAGCTTAACTTTGTACAGAATTTTAAAGTGTGGGTAAGGATAATAGGAGAGGTTAATATGACATACTATACCCCACCTAACAACGTTCTTTTCCATTTATTTGATTAGAAGTGAGTATACCAATTTTCATAGATAATTTGAGAACAGTTACATAAAAAGACAGAATCAACACTAAGATAAGGAAAATCTAACAGTTGTAAAAGTCATGCCCAAAGCTCCTAAATCTAAAAACAGAATAAAACATTAGCATTGCTTACTACAGTAAAAGAAGGTTTACACAGAATTAGACTCAGTGGATTAAAAACAGGTCATGAAGACAGTCGGTGGGTCTGAGAAGCTAGAAAATGAGGCAGAGATGGAGCTGATCAAAATATATTGCATTCATACACGAAATTATGAAAGAACAATTTTTAAAAATATTTTAAAACAAATAAAAACAGGTACTTACACAAGAAATTCTAAATGGTGCAAATGTTATAGGATCTTCTCCATACAAAGGCCAGTAGCGCTCACACTTTTTCTGTTGTCCAAAAAAGATAAACAGAAAAGAGTTCAGTAACTGTCTGATTTTTTTGGGACTTTTTGTTTACAATATTTTATGTACATGAGTGCTCTGTCTTCATGCACAACAGAAGAGGGCATCAGATTCCATTACAGATGGTTGTGAGCCACCGTACTGTCCCTGGGAATTGTGACCCCCCTTCCCCCCAGGAAGAGCAGCTAGTGCTCTTAACTACTGAGCTTCTCTCCAGCCTGGCACTATACTTCTTAAGCTTTTACAAATACTTTGTGTTCTAGGACTAAGAAGAAAGAGCATTTCTTTGGTATAAGAAGCATTTTGTCACTGCTAATTTTACTATTCTATTGGCCTGTGCTAATTAAGAGTGATTTTCACCACTTATACGATGAGATCATTAATGAAATAAGAAAAATCCTAAATTTTTTCTTTCTCCATTCATGTTGACTTTATTCTTGCAATGCCCACAGATCCTTTTTTTCTTCTCAATTTCCCTGACCACCACCCAGTGTGGGCCCTCAACCCATGCCCTGGTGCCTGGTTTCCTTTGTCTCCCTTGTTTCTTGCCCCCAATTCTTAACTACAGATGCTTAACCATCACATATGCTGCCACCCTTAACCATTCCTTCTTCTTGAGCAGGCGGTGTTTAAGAACCCAGAAATGAGAAAACAAAGGTTCTGGGCCCGGAAGGCCCTCATGGACAGATGATGATCAGATCTGGGATGACCAATGTGGCTGCCATCTCAGCCCAGATCCAGCATTTCCAGTCAGTTCACCACAACATTTACTCCATTCTACAAGCTGCTGGCGAGCATGGCGGAAACAGTGTACACAGGACAGGGCAGGGCAGTGATGGAGTCAGTCCTTAGATACAGTGCACACAGGACAGGGGTGATGAAGTCCTTAGCCTCTGGGTTGGCTAGGGAAACCCTACACTTTATAGCACTTAAGAAAAACACTCGATGAGCCGGGTGGTGTCAGAACACGCCTTTAACCCCAGCACTCAGGAGGCAGAGGCAGGTGAGTTACAGGACAGCCAGGGCTACACAGAGAAATCCTGTCTCAAACCTGTCCCCACAGCCCTCCAAAACCCAAACAAACAACAACAACAAAAAGAAAAACCACTAAATGAACAAAATTTAAATTTTCAGCTAAGCCGGGCTGTGGTGGCGCACGCCTTTAATCCCAGCACTCGGGAGGCAGAGGCAGGTGGATCTCTGTGAGTTCGAGACCAGCCTGGACTACCAAGCGAGTTCCAGGACAGCCTCCAAAACAATACAGAGAAATCCTGCCTCGAAAAACCAAACAACAACAACAACAACAACAACAACAACAAAAAAAAATCCAGCTAAATTGAGTAACAGTAAAGAACATTAACATAGAAAATTTAATTAGTTTTCAATTTTTAGATTTTATTATCTTTATTTGCTGTTCAACATTACTTAATACTGGCAAATAAAGTTATTTCCAAGGAATAAAAGAAACTAGTTAAAATATGGCTTCTCCATTATTTATGACACATACACAACAAAGATTTACCTTGCTTCTGTAGCAATCTCATAATGAAAATTTTAATAGCCAGTTTTTAGAACCTATAAAGTACCTTTACTAATGAATCACATTAATATAAAGAACTTCAAATAAAGATACTACACAACTTATTCTTTAAGTTTGAGTTGGGTGTCACATCTAGAGTTCAAACAAGTTTTACCTAAGTACCATTTTTTAAAAATATATTACCATCTTTTATAGTGACAATTTCAGGACTAACGCTGTAGAACATCACAATGGTATGTAATAAAGCATCAGTTATACACTACATCAGCTAAAAATGAAAGCAATGGGAATCTTAGTGACCAGAGTTTGCTAGTATGTGTAAGGTTCTGGGTTCAATCTGAGCATTACAAAAAACAAACCAAGCGATGATTTTCTTTTCTGAACTTTGAAAATAGTATAAACAAAAGCTGGGAGTGGTGACACACACCTTTAATCCCAGAATCTGGGAGCAGAGGCAGGAGATCTCTGAGTTTGAGGTGACTCCTGGTCTACAGAGCAAGTTCTAGGACAACAGCCCGGTCTTGTGCGTGCGAGCGTGCGTGCGTGTGCACGCACACACAAGTGGTGGTGGACTAGGTATAGTTCTTGCTATACAAATATGAGAACCTGAGTCTGGCCCCCAGCATCTGTGTAAAAGTAAGGTAGAGTGGTACCCATCTGTAACGGCTGTGGGAGGAGACAGAATTCTGGATGCTTAATGGCCAGCCAGTCTAGATGATATGAGCCCCACGTTTAGTGAGAGACCCTATCTCAAACAAGGAGAGACAGACAAAGACTAGACTCTGGTTTTTCACAATCATACATATTTGACCGTACCTGCACACACATACATGTAACTATGTACACATGCATATAGACATACATACATACGGAGAAAGACTGTTGTTGTTTTTTTAAATATGAGATAAGGTCTTATGTAGACTTGACTGGCCTGGAACTCATGGAAACCGATCTGGCCTCAAATCTGTGGCATGTGCCCCACCTCTGCCTCTCAAAAGTGTTGGCATTACAGATGTATGACACCATATGCAGCTTAAACTGTTATCATTAGAATTACTTTAATATGCCTATTTGTTCCATTTATTAATATTTCAAAAATTACTTTCTAGACAATAAACTGTATTTGACTAAAAATACCATGAAACATTTGAAAACTTTAAGTAATGCTAACAATTATTTTTAGTATATCACAGAATGTACTTCTGAAATATGCAAAGATGTTTGTGCTTTGCTCCATATAGCATATAAAATAGCAGAGTACACAACGAAGTGTGCACCCTTAACTACTTGGGATCAGGCTACTGTAAAGTAATAAATGATCAGGAATCTCTAGCCCCCAGATACAGTGTGTTAAGTGGTATACATACCCTTCCCATCTCAAATTCTCGACAGGCCATTACGATGATCTAAAAAGGAGTTGGAGATAAAGACTATATCAGTTAAAAACAGTTTTACTTTTAAAACTAAATGCAAAATCTCAAAAATTATCTTTTACTCTGAGCAAAAGTACACTTGTTGAATATTAACAAGTCGCTTTAATGTTAAAAGTACAGTATAGGGGCTGAGAGAGATGACCCAGTTTCAATTCCCAGAGCCCATATGGTGGCTAGCAACTATCTCTAACTCCAGTTCCAGGTGATCTGATGCCCTCTTCTGGCTCTGCAGGCACTGCACACACGTAACACAGACACACATGCAGGCAAACACACATAAAAACAAATAAAATTTCAAGAATGAGTATAGGATAACAAGACTATCAAAACCGTATCTTCTAAATAAGAACTACCTACACAGCAATAAGTGATGTCATTCAAAATGACTTTTTGTCTGGATTAGGCTGTGAATCTGACTTATTTATTTCTTACTTCTGAATTATATGAAAGGACTGTTGTGGCATTTACCTAACTCTATTACTCTTAACCAAATATTAAAGAACATTTTAAGTGTAACTCTTTAAAGCTTGAATATATTAAGATTAGCAGCCTCTATATGTAAGTTAGGCTATATGTGTCCTCATTTTATAATAGCATTAAAACCTATAAAGATCTTATAGCAAAATTGTACATTCTAACATTAAACCTTTACTGTAACTATCATTGCACTCTTTTATTCCTCTATCATCTTCTTTGCAAATGTACTTCAATGCCTCAGTATGTAGTACGCATCAGTACACTCTCCCCTAGATACCTCAGCAATAATGTTTATTACAATATTTCCCTTGAAAGTACTTAATGAAATACACAAATTTTAAGTGACCATTCTTTAAGTTCTAAAACATGTATATGTCTGTGAAATTCAAACTCCTATCCAGACATAACATGTTTCCACTACTTTGGAAATTTATTCCTGCTTTATATGTCATTTGAAAGTGAAATGGACAGCAAACAAAAATACTGTTGTTATTCCATCCTCCTTTTATTGATCTCTCAGAGGACAATTAAGGACGCCAATCAGTTAGGTCATTGTAATGCATTCGTGGGAAAGGAGAGAAGTCCTTGTGACTGGCTTCCACGTCCACACGTTATCAAGGACGACAACGCAGAGTCTAACAGATGGGCTCTTTACAGTGCCCAACAACCCACATGAAATGTCCTTGCCTTCAGACCAACGGGCACACCGTTTCCCTTTATCCAAAAATCCAAACAAACAAAAAGGCCTACAGTTCAGATATACTTCCAATTAAATGAGTTGGGGTGGGGTGGGGAATAGGGTCCTTAAATTCTTCACTTAACAATTTGCAGTTAACATACTTACATCTATTTTCCTAGGAAGAGGGACCCAAAAGAGTCTACTTCTAGCAAAAGGTTAAAAGACAGGGCTGTCATGGATGGAGGAGAGGCACATAGAGTCCCCACTCCTAGCTGAGGAGATGCTGACAATTAACGGCTGGTAGGGAGGCAGAAACAGTATTTTCTTTTTTCAGTCATTATTTTTTAATTTTAAGTATATGGACAGGTCCTTTGCCTACATGTAGGTCTGTGCACTACACGAATGCCTGGTGTCCACGGATGTTACAAGGAGGCATTAGATCCCTTGGCACTGGAGTGGCAGGTGATTGTGGCCCACCATGGAGGTCCTTTAGGAACTGAGTCACCCCTCCAGCTCAAGTGAGTTGTCTTTGGGTGCGACCTTTGCAGGCTCACCAGGCTTCAGTGGATGACTCCATATTGGTGTTTATGAGCAGCACTAATCGGACAAGACACGGAAAGGGTGATGCACAGGGGATATCCCACAAAAGCTGCATAGGGGAGCAGAGGGCAAATGTGATGGAGATACACTGAATGCATGTATGACTTTCTTAGACTAAATTAAAAATACTCTATGAGTCTTTAAAAGAACATGCCTATATTATCAGTCATATAGGTTTATGCAAGCATTCATCTTTTTAAAAATGATTTTAGTTATTTAATAGCTATATTATTGGTTATTGGCTTAGGACAAGATTTAAATTATAGGCACACTTTTCTGAAAATATTTGAACTAGTTTGTGAGAATTTAATGAGCATCTTCAAAACTAGCCTTTGTCTTTTCCAGAAATGTGTTACCCTTAAACCATTATACCTAAAAAGCTGTCTTACTTCTTACTCGTAAGACACCTAATGTTATTACGTATTACAGATCTCGAAAGTGACAAGTAAGTCACTTACCACGACATTGTACTCCCATATCATCCTCCAAAAGTCTATGACAGTGTTCGCTAAAGGGCCTTGGGTCGCCACATACGCTTTTGGCCCATAGACGCCCTGAAAGGATGAAATGCAGACTTTACGTTTACTGTGATCAAAGAATATTTCGTAACTCAATTCATTAAGGTTTAAAGTTTTATTAGTAATGTTTTCATCATCTAAAGCCATTTTTTTCATAGTGCATAAAACATGGCAAAATGTGCCAAATCCATTTCAGCTTTGGCTAATCAATAATACTCTGTATTTGCTGGCTGTACTGTACAGAATCAGTACGAAATCACTTTGTATTAAGAAATAAAAACAAAATCTTGGACATGGTGGTGCATGCCTTTAATCCCAGCACTCAGGGGCATGAAGACCTCTGTGATCTGTGAGTTAGAGGCCAGCCTGATCTAAATACTGAGTTCCAGAACAGCCAGGGCTACACACAGAGAGACTCTGTCTCAGAAAACAACAACAACAAAAAACCCTTAATAGGTAGTCCAAAAACTAGCCATAGTAGAAATACAAAAGCACAGTTTGATTCTAAGAACAACACTGAAGTCAGCAGTTCTTTCCATGGTAGCCTTAAGAGTCCATTCAGAGCCTACTACAGGGCTTTGGAAAAAGGTAAGAATAGACCAAACATGACAGCTGACTAAAGTAAATGAACTGGCATACACCTGAATCAGTGCCCTCAGCAGAGTTAAAAACTAGAACTCTTAACACACATATATAAAAGAGTCTACATGTTGACAACATCTGAAATACAATACCTATTTTTTGTTTAATTCATAAACTTTGTGTTCATTTTGTTAAAAGACTCTTTACCTGACACCATATTTAACAATACACAGACAATATTAATTTTTACTACTCTTATTATCTAACACTTATTATCAACAAAATATCTATTAAAATATTTATGGCTGCCAATATAAAAATCGCTGAAAAACTGTAATAGTTGTATAACTAGAGTCAAAAGCACAAAATAACCTGTGAAACAAATTTAAGCCTTTACTTCAACATAGTCACACAGGAATCTGTGTCCTCTTTCCTAGTAAGAGCATAAACACAACAGGCAGAGCTAGTAGAGCAAGTCTACAGTTTCTAAGGCAAGAAATCTCAAGTTCCAAGCCAGTCTGGGCCCCATAAAGTGTCTCAAATCAAGCAACCACCTACCCACCTACCACTTCAATACTTTTGATTCAAGGCTGACTACAGCTATCTAACAGGATGACTATCACTTCATTATTCGATTTTTACTTAATTATTTATCTTGAGACAGTTACGCTCTTTAGCTCAGGCTGACTGAATTTACTGCAATCCTCTGGCCTCAGCCTCCAGAATATTGGGATTCCTGCCACATTATATATCACCATCCATGGCTCTGAGTTGTCACCACAAATAGTTGCAATACCAAACATTTTTAAAATTTCAGTTATATCTTATAGATTTAAATAAGTATTACCTAGTAATCTTGGCACTATTAATCTTAAGAAACCGTTGAAAAAAACAGTGTTTGTTGTAATTTCATTACCAAGAGAGACTGTAAGTACTCCAACAACATAGAGGTGCGCTTAAGCTCAAGGGATAGTCTGCTGATAGTGTTGATGGCCTAACGTAAAAGCATCTCTGCTATAGCACACACTGGCTGTGGTATCTGGCTCAGGCAGTGGAAAGGCAAGCACATAAGATATACCAGGCAAGGGTTTCATTCTTATTTTCTTATTAGCACATGTTGGCAGTTAGTACCTTCAATAAAATCGGTATATAGGAAGGCATTAAATATAGCAAGGAAAAGTCCCTTCATTTTAATACATACCTTAATAAAATTTGCATTGATATAGTCTGAATCTTGAGATGGAGTCTTCAAAGTCAACTTAACTCGGCTGTGGTCAACTACAAGAGAAAAGATTTTCATGTTATGTCCAGGTGTCATGGAAGCACTTCCTTTTTCTGGCTTTTTGTGGCAGAGCCCCACAATGTAGCTCACAAAGGCACTGAACTGCTTTCACCACCAAGTGCTGGGATTACAAATGTATCACCACATTTACTTTAGAAATACAAAGTCAAACTTAGGTATCAGGAGGGTAGTTTTTAACATTATTTTAACAAAAGGCAAACCTCTGAGAAAAGCAAGAAAAAATGTAAAGAAATATACTAAAGCTAAATATATAAAACATCAGGCACTGACCCAAATTGTCTAGAGTGGTATCTAGGGGTTAAACCTTAGCACTTTCATTTTTAATTTAAATTTTGTCTTTAACCCTGGCACTTCATGAGGAAAGGCAGGTGGATTTCTGAATCCCAGGCACCCTGGTCTACAAGCTCCATCACAGAGTGACATAGAGACTCTGTCTTACAAGACAGAACCAAGTAAAACGTTCTGAGTATGGGTGTTTTGCCTGCACGGATGTCTCTGTGGGCAGTGCGCGCAGACCATGTGGAACTGGAGTTAGAGAAGGCTGTGCTGGGAACTGGACACAGTCTTCTGGAAGAGCAATGCTTTCACCACTGAGGCTCTCCCCAGCCCAAACCTCAGAACTTATTAATAACTGCTACTCAAGAGTTCCTTTGCCAAGGTTCTTATTAAGAAGTCTACCTTTTCATATTGCACAAGAAATTATGAAAACTAAATAATTATGACTAATTAATTAAAATACTAAAGTATGACAGAATTAAACAAAAAAATAGGTATATAAGGTAAAAACACAATCTTTTACCTTCCAATATCAGGACTCATTTTATCTTCACTTGCACTGAGTTATGTAAATCCTTATGCATTTTACACACACACACACACACACACACACACACACACACACACACACACACACACTTATGTGTGTAGTTTTTCGAGACAGGGTTTCTCTGTGTTCCCTGACTGTCCTAGAACTCGCTTCATAGACCAGGCTGTCCTTGAACTTACAGAGATCGTATGTCTCTGTCTCCTGAGTGCTGGGATTAAAGGTATGTGCCACCATACCCAGCCAGTATTATTAATTTACTTTTATAGGAGGGAGACAGGAGACGCTGATGGATGGGACGCGTGGGTCACATGGAGGTTATCAGAGGACAAACTGTAGCAGTTGTCTCTCTCCTTCCACTAAGTGAATTCTGGAAACTTAGGTCATTAAGACTCGGTAGCAAGTACCCTAATTCATGGAGCCAACTTGTCAGCCTTAATGCTGATTTAAAAAAAAATTAGGTTGGGCATAATGGCTCATGCCTTTAATCCTAGAATTTGGGGAGGCAGAGGCAGGAGGATCTCTATGAGTTTGAGGTCAGACTCGTCTACATTACAAGTTCCAGACCAGCCAGGGCTACATAGGGACCCTGTTTAAACCCCACAACCTCATTAACCTAAAAAATGACAATAAACATTTAGAACAGATTTAAACAAAGGCAGCAAACATAGTTTGGAACAACTACTTGCTACTGAGTTTCCTGCTTTGGAGGATGGCTCTATTTGAATCAGGATCTTGCTATACAATCCAGAATGACTTTGAACCCATGACTAATTGTACTCAGCCTCCTAAATACTGGGATTTCAGGAATATCCCCATGCCTTGATTAATTACTAATATCTTCTATAACCATAGCCAGAAAATTCAGTTATAAAACCATTAAATAACAATTTCAACTATTTTTCTGATGTTTTCCATTTTTCAAGATTACGTATAGACTTATTTCTCCTCTTCTGTCTCTTTCAATTATAAGATTCTCTGATTTTTGCTGACTGGGAGGGAATTATCTATTTTTGGGAATAACACCCAGGATCTCAGCATGATTCCCAAGGCCCCATTAGATGGCTCCCAACCACCTGTAACTCTAGCTCCAGGGGACCTGAGGAACACTGGCCTTTCTTTGGGACCTGCACGCATGTGACACACACAAACTCACACAGGTACATATGTGTGCACATGCTCACACACATAAATAAAGAAAACAAACACTACCACAGAATCATGTTTGTTCTTAATGTATAAAATTATGGTTGGGTAATTCGTGAAGTACTTACATCTTACTATTTGTAATTTAAAGGAACCTTACTCACCCAGGTATTAGAACTGCCTAATACTTACTACCTTTTCATTAGAAAGGATCATAACACATAAACTGTAACTATCACATATGGCTTTCTAATCCACAGACAAAAAATATGAAAACCAATTAACATTAAAGAAGATAAAACTGGAAATGGCACCAGCTATGAATAAACTTACTGAAATACTACAAAGGCAGCTGTAATGAATAGTTTTCCTTAGTTCACACTTTATATAAAGTACTTAAGGCCTTTTTACTTGAGTTTTTGGGATGGGGTCTTTATTTTGGAAATCTGTATATATGAAAGCTATATTAATCTCTGAAAGCTATTTACCTCTAACATTTTCCAGGGACTGCATGGAATGTCCACATGTTGTTACTGTTGTCATTTATTTCATTCACATGACTTGGCCTCCTCGTTTTTAATGTGATTTTGGAAAGAAAATAGATGTACCAAAAATGCTGCTTCTCTTACACGAGTCTAAAATAACCATATAAAGTGTCCTCTTAACATGTTCACCAGTACTAACTAAGACATCCCAGTTAATAACTGTCATCCATCCATAGGATGGATGTGCGTCAAAGATAAGACTACAACAACTGGTTCAAAAAGACAGTTAAAGTCAATAGTCGACAAGCAGTCTGCCTATGTGCAGGCTGGGGTTACTTCTCACTCTCAAAAGTTCTCTAGGATGTAAAAAGCTTAAGCATACACATGGTGGAATATCCCCAATTCACCAAACCCAAAGGCTCTCTCTGTTTTAGCCCTTACAAACACAGACCATAGAAAAACAGTCTGCTGTCCAGGGTATACTAAGATCGCCTGCTGGACACTGTGGCCCACCTGAAATCCCAGGACTCAGGAGAAAACAGTCTGGTGTCCAGGGTATACTATACTGGACACTGTGGCCCATACCTGGAATCCCAGGACTCAGGAGAAAACAGTCTGGTGTCCAGGGTATACTATACTGGACACTGTGGCCCACTCAGGAAGAGGACCAAGAGCTTGGCCAACCTGGACCACATGTGTAGGACCTCCATCTTAAAACCACGCAACAACAACAAAAAGAATTCTTTCAACACAGTAAGAGTAAAAAAAAGTTTTGTTTAAATAATTTGAAGACTTTCCAGCAAAGAAAATATCCAAAAATTGGCTAACAGCAAGTGAAAAGCTACAAATCAGAAATAGATGAAGAACCACTAGAAAAATTACAGTAAGTCTGGGCCCAGAAAAAAGTCTTAGCGGACAGAGCACTGAAGCGGTGGCTCCCCTTAGCCCCAGCCTCAGAAGGCAGCGACACGGCTCTCGAGCAAGCCAGTGAGGCTAATCTGACTAAGACTGTGCCTCAATGAGGAGCAGCTGGGGAACACCACCAACCTCAGGCACATGTGAGTAGGTCCACAGGCACATGTGAGTAGGTCTACAGGCACATGTGAGTAGGTCCACAGGCACATGTGAGTAGGTCCACAGGCACATGTGAGTAGGTCCACAGGCACATGTGAGTAGGTCCACAGGCACATGTGAGTAGGTCTACAGGCACATGTGAGTAGGTCCACAGGCACATGTGAGTAGGTCTACAGGCACATGTGAGTAGGTCCACAGGCACATGTGAGTAGGTGCACACACTCATGCAGGAGACCCAAACACACGGGGAAACCAACCGTGCAGGCAAGCGCAGTGATGCACACCTGTGAGTGACCCCAGCTGCTCAGGAGGCTGAGGCAGGGGAGTCCTTGAAGGCAGACGCCTAATGCCAAACTGACACAGTCTCAAACAAGCAAACCCAACTGCTGTAAGTGCTGGTAGGAATGTGGAAAACTGGTCCTCACGTACTACTGCTGGGAATATAAAACAGTGGCTCTGGAATACAGTTTATCTCAGTTCAGTTTCTTAAAAAGCTAAACATAAGCTAGGTGCTACGTGGTACATGCATCACAAGGCTGAGGCAGGAGGATGAAGAATTTGGAAACACAGCAACTTGCTGCCTCATAAAACAAAGAAGGTTAAATACAAACTTCTGTAGGTCTACAATTATATTCCTACATAGGCACCCAAGAACAATAAAATTGTATTTATAAACGAGCCTTATTCAGAAATATTTTAGTAACATTACTTACAATATACATCAAATGCAGAGTGGATAAGCAAAATGTAACACAGTCACAGGATTAAAAATTCTTCAATATTAAAAAGAAATTAATAGCCGGGCGGTGGTGGCGCATGCCTTTAATCCCAGCACTTGGGAGGCAGAGGCCGGCGGATCTCTGTGAGTTCGAGGCCAGCCTGGCTTACAGAGCAAGTTCCAGGACAGGCTCAAAAACAATACAGAGAAACCTTGTCTCTAAAAACCAAGGGTGGGGGTGGGGAAGAAATGTAATACTGTAATAACACAAATATAACTAAATGTGTGCTAAGTTAATAAAGTCAGGCACAACAGAGCACATATTATATGATGTTTACGTCAAACTTCTAGAAAAACAAAATCTAGAATCAGAAAGCAAAACTGACAATTGCCTGGGATTAAAGAATACAGAACTTTTGGAAGCAATGAAATGTCCTAAAACTGGATTGGGCTGCTTTCTGTATGACAATATTACTTTAAAAGTTTATTATATACTTTGTATTTCTGCAGACAATGGACATGTTACATATTTAAATGAAATAGAAAAATTATTTTTTGATAACTATGTAAGTACAACTGCTTTCAATGTAACATGTCAAATCTAAACAGGCAGAAACTGACTAAAATTCTTCTCTCCTGACTCCACTACTGAGGTCGAGAACTGGCACTCAAAGGCACAACTCCGGCCTAGACAGTTTCTGCGCGGGGTGAGCTGCGTGCTGTGCAGGGCAGGCTGTGCAGCAGTACCTGGAATCTGTCTTCTAGAGGCTGCTAGTAGCAGGACAACCAATGCCTCCTGCCAAATGTGCCCAAGCACCACAGCCATCCTCTCTGAACATCAAGGCTTTGGATACAAATTACTTTTCATGATGTGAGCACTGTGATAAGTTACCAAACTCCTCCAGACTCAATTTCCCATCTGTAAATGTGACAATGAGGGAAAAACCTATCTATCACATAAATCAGCAATCGATTTACTAGCATACAACTAACCCTCCCCTTATAGTCCCAATTTTCTCAATGCCCTTACCCTGTCTCCAGTATCCCTATTACACTAGTCACCACAAGACAGGCTTATGTGAACTTGTACTCATGCTGAACCCTAGGCTAGAACATGAAACACAAAAGGAGGGATTCTGCATCGTCAGCACAGATTATGCTCACAACTTGTTGTAAATGAGTATGGAAACAGAAACCTGGAGCCAGTGAAGACTGGCTTCTCTAGAATACAGAGAAATCAGTGAGCAGCACCCAGAAATCCATGTCAACTCCTGTTCTGAGGTGGATTAATGCTACAGTCTGACTGTTTGTATTCCCCTCACATTCACACGCTGAAACTGACGTCCCATGCAATGACGCTAACAAGAGGAGCCTTCAGGAAGTGAGGAGGGCATGTTCTGATGAGTGCCAAAGAGGCCCAAGGAAACTGGGTTGCTTCTCGTTCTACAAGAGGACGCAGCGAGAAGGGACCAACTAAGAACCAGGGAGTGTGAGCCTTCATCGCATCCAAAGCTTCCGGTGCCCTGACTTTGGACGTCCCTCAATGCACTCCTGCTGATTACAAGCTACCAAGTTCAATGAGTAAAGCAACTGCTAAGGAAGTGGAGTGTATTTAAGCAAGAGCCTTACGTGGTCATTGTGCTAGGTTAGCAGAAGATGTGCGACCTATCTCACACTCAAAACTGTCCTTAGAAGTATTATCACTCTAACTCCAATTTACAGATGAGAAAGCTAGACAGTGAACACCAGACCTGGCCTTAAAACTGGTCATGTCCAGACGTGAGTGTCCAGGGTAGCTCATCACTTGTTCTTCTGTGCTGTTGCTTGTTAATTGTGCTAGTATTATCTAACCACACAACTCGCAGATGAGAACGATGTAGAACAGCTAACAGAAGGTAGGTTTAAATATAGGCAAAGAAACCAGTGAGGAGGGTTGGAGAGACGGTTCAGGCAGTTAAGTACTTGCTGTGCAAGCCTGAGACCTGAGTTCAATCCCCACCCTACACATAAAAAGCCAGACATGAGTGGTACTTGCAACACCAGCACTAGAAAGGTGGACAAAGGTAGATGCCTGAGGCTTGCTGGCCAGGTAATCTAGCCCAACCGGAAAGCCTGAGCCACAGTGAGATACCAAATCTCAGAGAAAGACAAACAAAACCAGAAATGGCTCCTGAACTACTAAATCGAGGCCAACTTCTGACCAGCTCACAACACAAATCACAGATATACATGCACACAAGAAATCAGTGAGGAACAGAGGGAAGATAAGCAAAGGAGGAAATGATCAGAGAGCGTTAACCATGGGAGACCAGAGTTTCAGAAAATGGGACTGGCCAATGGCATAAAACACTTCATAGGAAAGAAAAAACAGTGAAAGAGGTGATTGGGAACACGAGGCTACTGGAGAGAAGCTTGAATAATGACACTTAAGGTAATGGAGCCATAGAATGTACACAGTTCAAAATATTTGAAGGGGAACACTATAGCAGATTTCAAAGACCAGCAGGTCTAAGGCAAAATTTCCCTTCATAAAATGTGGACTCTCAGGTAAGCATGTGTTTAAAGTAACTTATGCAGAAAACAATGTTATCTTAGCATAAAATCATGATGAGACTATAATGTTTCCAACTTTGAACATGCTTAGACACACTGACTGACTGTTGAGGAGAGCAGCCACAGGTTTCTGAGGCATCTTATGGCCACTTTTCATCCAGTTAATCAACTACGGTTCTTCTGTGATCAGGTAACAGACAGATCAGTGTCTTAGCATTTTAAGAAACTATCCCAATTGTCTACATTGGTTTTTTTTGTTTGTTTTTTAAAAAAAGGGCTTCTAAGAAGTAGTTTCCAACTATTGTGTAGTGTACCTCGGAAGGGCTGACACTACCTCCTTGGCTATTCAAACAGGAACAAAACTAGAGGGGTTACAAGAGCTACATAGCATTTCTATTTAGTCTATCAAGGGCATTTCAAACTTACATGGCAGTATGTCCTTATATCTGTTCTTTTTAACATTCTCTTCTTTTTCTCCAGTGGCTGTGGGGTAAATCTTTTCTGTTCTATATTTGGTTGACAATCTTCTTAATCGCTTAAAATACAAGAAAATAAAATTCAAGTTTAGAGAAACATTGATATTTTCAAAGTGTTAATGATTTACAAAGAGCTCTTCAACAAATTGTTACCCAATTCCTCACAACTAATTCTCCTATTCCTCTATGCTGTTAATTTCCCTATCCCTTAAAAATTAACCCTAAGAATAAATTTTTAGAATAAGTGCAATTGTAAGATTAATGTTTATTCCAAATGAACAGCAAAGGTAACAGCTAGAAGTAATTTTATTTAAAGCTATCAATAAGCTGAGAATTTCTGTGTTTAATAAAGGGTCTTGTTAAGCAAATTTTAAAATCACAACTTAAGCAGGTTTCTTTTCTCAATAACCCAGGAGCACCCATGATGCTCGCTGCAGGCTCTTTCCACAGCATCCCCTGATAATTACTTGTAAAACACTACAAAACAAAGTTCTTTCACACTGGATTGGAAACGTTCAACAAAGACTAATTCTGCTTATTCACTGCCTTACAGAAGTGGTTTGTGGGTCAGTGACAAATTCTTACCACATATGGCAGTAGGGATGTTCTTTGGGCTGGAATATTTCTGTTTGTCAGTAATACACTTCCTGCTTTCAGAAGAACTGAAAGTTGGCATTGTGAATTGTTTAGATTCTACTCAACTACACTTCTAAAAGTTAATTTCAAAGGAGATTACTTTTTTGATAGATTAAGCACTTTGACTTTAGGACTCAAAATTATTAAATACAAATGAAATGAAAAAAGTCTGGTAGCAATTTAATTTGTTCACCAGTTTATTTTTGTAGCTGATACAAGTAACTTAAGAATTTTCATGACTGTATTAAAAAAAACCCACAGATTTTTAACACAAGAATCTTGTCATATTGTTATGATACTAGTTTAAATAGTTTTACACAGGCACTTACATGGGAAACGGTTATTTTTGTTTTACTCAGGGAATTAAAAAAAAAGGCTAAATTTTAGAGACTGAACACAGGAATATACATTTTTCTTTCTTTTAAGAAAAATCATGCCATATACTGGCACAATGCCTAAGTAAAATTTTCCCAGGCTTATGGTGACTTTTGCCGTAGTGATAAAAATCTCAAAATATACAGAGGTGTAAACCATCCAGGTTTCCTTATGCCTGCAACCCCAGCACTCATGGGACCAGGACACTGGGGCCACACTTCAGTATGATGTGGGTCCAAAAGGAATATTACCAAACTGGGAGGGAGAGCTGGCAGTTGCAAATCCACCTAAATTTCTAGACATGTGCTTCAACATAAAACTGGCACACATATAAAATAATGTATGCTAAAGCTCTTTATTGCAATATGTCCATAATAGCAAAAGTTCACCAACAATAAAAAACGGCCTATTAATGGGACTGGATATATTTGCTCCATACAATCAAATATGAGGAGTAAAAATCAAGTTAGGAAGCTCTGTCTGGAACATGGTAAAATTCTCATTTAATGGAAAAGCAAACACTAGAGTATTCTCCTATTGCTATTAGTATTGAAATATCTTTCCAGGAAATCGAGTGGCAAAGGCTGCAGCTGTGGGAAGGGCAATGAGACGCGGGCAGGAAAGAGCACTGTATCCTTTCACACTTGCATGTCATGTGGGCACACTGAGTGTAAAGTCAAGCAAGGGAAAAGGCAAAAGGACTGCTCTGCTCAGAGACTTCATCATTCCTTGTCAATACCACATCTTGCATAGCTGACTGTTTTCTCTAGTCAAAGATTTGGTATCTGAAAAGATATATTTTAAGATATTTACAGCACCTTAATATATAGTATTATGTGAAAATTGAACTTAAAGGATGCCAATTTAAGCAGCCAGAGATGCACGGGCAGGAAAGAATGTAATCTGAAGCAGGAGTGGCCTACAAAGGAAGGAACAGGGCCAAGCTGAACTACGAGGGGCTACCGCACATCTACAACACCTGCTGCTCACACAAAGCCTTCCGTGTGTGACAGTTCCTGAGAAACACATTTACAAAGTTATGCAAAAGCTGATAATTATTAGAATGTCTTTGTATAATAAATATCTAAGTTTGAATTTTTATTTACCTAATGTTCTTAAAGCCTGAAATATCATGAAATGCTTTAAATATTCAACTTTAAATGAAGAATATTTTATGAAAATAAAACCAAAAAACCTCACGTCTACATAAATGGCCTGATCTGGTCACTGCATATTTTATATGTGTGTACATACATGGACACACACAGATATATATATATATGGATAAAAATGTCACACTATACCAGATACATATGTATGATTATTATGTGTAAATTAAGTCACATAAAATTATAAATCTTAAAATTACCATATACAAAATATACAACATAAAACACAATAAACTTTGAAAAAGGCTAATATGCAGAAAAATCTATAGCTTCATTAAATTTTTAAGTAGACTTCATTCTTACCAAAAATAGTCAGTCTTACAATTAGCTGCATTCATTAAAATATTGGTTTTGATAATGTATGATAATCAACACATTTAATTCACCATTACAAACTTTATAAAAAAGGAGATAAGATCTCCAGACTCAGCAAATAGTCTGGCACATAAAATGGCTCAATAGTCATTAATTACTATTAGGCAATTAAGAAGTTCTTTAAATATTACTTGCACTTCAGATTTGTTTCTTTGAAACCTTTCCTAGACAGAGTCTCAGAAAGAAATACACTGCGGGCCAACCTGCTTGGAGTGTTGTACAGTGTAAAGCCGTCTGCCTAGCTAAGCTGAGCTGGCTTTAGAGTCGCTTAGGAGGTCAGACTCCTTTCTATTCCAGGGCAGTTAACCACAGCACTCTCATTCCTAAATCAGCTAGCAGCTGCTGCCGCTCTATGTCTGCCCACGCTTTTGAAGGAATATCGACTAATTAGTTTGGTAAAACAGAAGTTTTTCAATGATTAAATTCTTTGTATTTTACATATAGGTTTGCAGTATCAAAGAATTCCAAGACAGATGCCTAGGGACTTCTCATAGGAAATGGGGGAAGGAATTGGTAGGAAGGAAAAAATGTAGTTACAGATCTAAGGAGGGTGGAAAAAAAGACTACAGCCAGTAACATATGAACGCAGCAGCACAGACTGGAACCAAAGGGCATCTATGCAGGACTAAAATGCTGAGTGACAGAGGACACCCGCTTACAACTGACAGCTCGTGTGGTTGAATGTGGAGAAGCGGGCAGCAGCACAGGGCTCCTGAGGGACTCCAAAGTCACACACAATGAACCCCAGGCTCGCCTGTGCTGTGTGGGTGACTTATACAGCCTTTTAGAACATGCACTGTGCACGCACCCTTTGTGCACTGCCCGAAACACCCCAACTCACATTTGAGGGGACCACATGAAATGCACTGTTTTGTTTTACTGTACACAGTGTTTAGCTCCTATAAAAACATAATGGCTTAATTACAGAAAACAGACCTTAAAAATATTGTAATTAATTAGAATGTAGCTATCAAATGAGCCTACTCTGGCCTGGACTGGTATAGCATGTGTGATTAGAACCTAACTAGCATGATTTGGTTGGTAAAGTACTGGTGCATTAGCATGGGACCTCAGTTCCATGCCCAAACCCATGCTATAAAGCTGGGCTCAGCAGGCCATGCATGCCTGTGACCTCAGCACTGGGGAGGCAGACAGGAGGATCCCTGTCTAGGTGAATGGGGAGCTCCATGTTCAATGAAAGCCTGTCTCAAAAAAAAAAAAAACAAAAAACAAAAAACAAAAAACAAAAAAACAAACTGAGGGGTGATAGAGGAAGACACCCAACGCCAACTTCTGACCTCAACATGCACACACATACCTGTGACTGTACATGTATCCCCCTCTCCCAACTGCTGTTTGCATTTCTGACTTAAGTTTCATTAAAAAAAATCACTTAATAAATTCTGGCTTGGGATCATGTGAGAATTTAGAACAAATTCTGAGATGGCCCTAAATATTATACAGCTACCATTTGTACTCTTTATATATGTGAAATATTTCAGCATAAACAATTATAAAAATCAATTATAAAAACTTACCAACTCTGAAAATTACTAAAGATCTATACTAGCAAATATTCAGGCAAGATTAATTTCTTTACATAAAAATACATAATCATAGGCAAATGAGATAGCTCAGAGGCTAAGGGTATTTGCTCCCAAGCCTGATGATGACCACAGTTTGATCTCCAGATCCTACATGGCAGAAGAGAACCAATTCCCACAGAAATTCTCCTGACTCCATATGCATGCTGTAAACCAGCACAGGCAGACACCACACACAGACACAGACAGACAGACACACACACATACACTTTGCCTTTTGTTGCTATGATAAACACCACTACCAAAAGCAACTTAGAGAGGAAAGTGTATATTTCAGCTTACAGGTTATAGTCCATTATCCAAGGAAGCCAGGGAAGAAGTGCAAGCAAAAAACTGAAGGAGAAAACAGATTTCTCTGGCGCATGCTCAGTTAATGTTCCTATACAGCCTAAACCCAACTGTCTAGAAATGGCCCCTTAGCGTGCTAGACTTGGTGACAGAGAGGCCAATCTGTCTGAGCAATTCCTCATTTGAGGTACCCGCTTTTCAGATGACGCTAGTTTGTGTCAAGAAGACAACACCAGCCCATATACACTTTAAAGTTACTTTCACGAGATCCAGCAATTCCACTCTTAGGCATATACCAAAAGATGCACATTCATACAACGAGGACATCTGTTCAACCATGCTCATAGCAGCATTATTTGTAATAGCCAGAACCTGGAAGCAACCTAGATGTCCCTCAACCAAAGAATGAACGGAGGAAAATGTGGTAAATTTACACAATGGAGTACTACTCAGTGGAAAAAAACCAATGGAATCTTGAAATTTGCAGGCAAATGAATGGATCTAGAAGAAACCATCCTGAGTAAGGTAACCCAGTCAAAAAAAGTAAAAAATGTACTCACTCATATAAGGATTTTAGACATAGAGCAATGGAGTACCAGTCTACAGTCCAAA